ATATTTATTTAAGGCTTCGGAAAAATCGCTTACCTCCTAACTAAACTTATAAAAGAAGCTAAAGAGAGAACCTTCCAGTAGAATACCGACTACTAAGCTATATTCGAAAAGCTTAAAGTATACTTTATCTTAGCTCCTATACTAAAACACTTCGATCTAAATACGGATACGTAGGTTGAAGTAGATACCTCGGATCTCGTCGTAGTAGGAGTACTCTTATAGAAGGATAAAGAAAGGAGACTAAAACCTATTACCTACTTCTTAAAGAAGATAAGCCCAGCCGAGTATAACTATAAGATATACGATAAAGAACTACTAGCTATTATTCGAGTATTTAAGGAATAGAGACTAAAACTAGCCGGTACTAATCCTAAGCGACCTATTAAAGTATTATTAGATTATCGCTCGCTCGAATATTTCATATCGATAAAATAACTAAACCGACGTTAGGCTCGATAGAGTAAATTCTTATCTAAGTTCTATTTCGAAATCTAATACCGACCTAGAAAATAAGATACTAAACCGGATAGCCTAACCCGACGTCCCGAAGACTAACCTAGACCCGACGACGAACGTATACGGTATTAATACTAGACTATCTTAAAGACGTCGAATTTAGCTAGAGAAGTGCTTTCTCCTAGGAAATTATCGGCCGCTTATCTCCTTACCATCGATACATAAGAAGACGATAAGTCGATACCTACCTAAGTAAAAGAAGCCTACTAGAACGACAAAATCCTAACGGCTATATTAGACGCCCTAAAGAAATAGTTACCACGGCTTCCACCGAATATATTAGACCAGTAAATCTCCCTAGCCGACTACGAAGAAAAAGACGGACTTATCTATCACCGTAGCCGGTTATAGGTACCGAACGATAAAGGCTTACGAATAACCATTATTAAGACCTATCATAATACCCCGCTATCGGGATATCCTAGACGAGCTCGTACTTACGAACCTCTTAACTAAATATACTACTAGCTAGACTTATCTAAGGACGTTAAGAGGTTCGTTCGGAATTACCATCTCTACCGTAAGTTAAAGCCGTTTAGAGATACCAAACTAGGGACACTAATACAATTGCCGGTACTATAACGCCCGTAGACGGAGGTGGCAGTAGATTTCGTTATAGACCTACCACTAAGTGTCTAGAACGGAGTAACGTACACTAACGTGATAGTAGTAACTAATCGGCTTACTAAATAGCGTTACTATATATCTTATATTAAAATAGATTCGTTAAGTATAGCAAAGCTCTTCATAACGAACGTTTTTAGCCGACACGGGTTACCCGACTTTATTACTTCCGATCAAGGCACTTAGTTCACCTTAAAACTATAGAAAAGACTCTATAACCGCCTTCAAATCTCCAGACGGATATCGAGTGCTTTCCACCCTAAGACCGATAGGCAGTTAGAGAACTCGAACTAATTCATGGAGTAGTATCTGCGTACCTACTACAACTACCTCCAGGATAATTAGGTTAACTAGCTTCCACTTGCCGAATTTGCCGTAAATATATATATATATCCGATACTACCTAAGTATCCCCCTTTTTCGCTAATTATAGCCTATACCCTCGGTTTAGTATCGAACCACCCTCGCCTATTAAACCGACACTATCGATAGGTATTAAAGATACATAGTAAGCAGACGCCTTTACAGATAAAATACGACGTATCCATAACGAGGCTAAAGCACAAATATCTCTAGCATAGGCTCGATATAAAGGATAAGATAAACGGCCTCCTATACCGGCCTATAAAGTAGGAGACTTCGTATAGTTAAATACGAAGAATATTAAAACCGAGAGACCTAGTAAGAAGTTAGACTTCAAGAATAAGAGGCTATTCGAAGTAATTTAGGTTATTAATTCGAGGGCGTATCGACTACGACTATCTAAAGACGCTAGAATCCATAATATCTTTCATACTTCGTTATTACGACCTATAGTATCCGACCCGTTACTAGGATAAATATAGGCACCGCCTATACTAGAACTAGTACTACGAGAGGATAGTAAGTATTAGGAATATAAAGTAGAGACTATATAGAACTTAAAATTAAAAAGAGATAAGCTCGTATACTTAGTTAAGTAGAAAGGATCGACGTAGGATTAGAGACTATAGAAGAATATCCTTCCTAACTACGAAGAACTTATAATAGACTTTTATCGACAATATCTAGGAAAGCCTAGCCCACCAGTAGGATACAACTTTAATAAAGGACTAGAGAAACGACATTAATCGGTAGAAGATAAACAGCAACCTCGACGTCCTTAACGAATAAGGAAACCGACTAGGAAGTTATTAGAGAACTAGGGAGACTAATTAACATCGCTCTATCGACTAGTTAGAATATACTTTATTTTATAAACCGGCCTTCCAGGAACCTATACCAACTAAGACTTAGAAGTTACTCTATAGACCTAGGTTAATAGCCACCTTATAACAGCAGATACTATAAACCTTAGCGATAATCGATAGAATTACTCTTTAGATCGACAACGATATAGATAATACCCTAAAGATAGAGACCTAGGCAAAATCTACGTAAGCTAGTTATAATAACTAAAGTATTAACACATTATTATTAATACTTCGACCTCTAGGGAGGCTACGTATTGGGCCTACACACGCGCTACGCGAGACCTTACGCCCGTTTGGGGGGGGGAGATATCACGGTTCTGGGTTCAAGGACGATTACACGTGACACGAAGCGCAGCCTTTCCACGTGACTAGCACGTAACTAGGCTGCTAACTCATCCGAAGGCTTGGCATAAGAGGCCTTAGCGCGCCTCGGTACATATCTACCTCGTGCGCCCGCGCAACTCTCTTTCATAGTCTTCGTACTGCAATTCTATCAATCATACACCTATTGCTTCTAGGTTCGTGATAGATAGGCTAGTATAGTAGTAAGATAGACTAGATATAGGTAATAATAGGATTTAATACTAGAGTGCTAAATACTACTACGTCGTTATCTTTTTTATCTTCTTTCTTAGCGTCTATAGCTCGGGCTTTATAGGCTCGTCTAGATAGCTAAGTTATAGTCGATAATAGTCGTAGTATAGTTAATAATAGCTATTCGGCCTTTTTATTAGTCTAGTATTATTTAAGATATTTATAATTAGTATAGATATATCTAATAAAGGTTAGATTATACTTTCTACACTATATATACTTAACCTATTCTTTCTCTTAAATATTTTATTTTCCTTTAGAATAGAAGCGAGTAGTAGAGATATAGTAGATAGTCTAGAGTTTAGCTATATAGAGATATTTTTCGATAATATCGAGTATTTTAGGCTTAATATCGACGAACTTACTAATCTCTTTAGTATTTAAGTTATTAATAATATTATCTATAGTATTAGGTAAAGTAGCTAGAAAGAATAAGCCTTTAATCTAGTTCGAGTCGAAGACTAGTCTTATAGCCTTTACTACTTTCTAGTTTAACGATTAGTACCTCTTCTATATCTTTTACTATAGATCGTAAAACTTATCTAGATATTTCTAGAGATTATTACTATTCTTATAGCGTAATATTATAATATTTCTACAGAGGTAGATAGTTAAATTACTAGTATTTCGATTAAATCTTTCTATAAGTATTATCTAAGCTTTAGCTAATATATTATATCTAGTAATCGTTAAGGTAAGATCGATATAGATAGTAGATAGTAGTATAACGAGGGCCTTAGTATTATCTTCTTCCTATTACTCTTAATTTTCTTTAGTTTATATCTTTTTCTCGCTTACTACGTTCTATAGTTTAGCGTATCTAAAGGCGAGGGTCTATAAGAGTCTCTATTCGCTATAGTTATTATCCCTAGAAGCTAGTTTTAATAGAGATATAGGGTTAAGCTTAAATAAGACGTTAGCTATCTTAGGCAAAGGTACGGAGATAGGAGAACGAAACTAAAGAGGTAGAAGACGAGGTAAGAATTCTAATAGAGATCTATTATAGCTTTTCTAGATCTTTTACTAGGGTTAGCTAAGATAGTTCTATAAAGATTAAGTAGTCGAAAGGGGTAAAGAATAGTAACTTAATAATAGTAGCTTAATATAGTTAATTAGAGAAGTTAGAAGTTAATATATTAGTACTAGGGGAAAACCCGGGCCTTATAACCTAGTAGAAACGTATAATTATATTAAGTAAAAAGAGAGAGAGAGTAAGTAGAGATAATAGAACTAAGTACATAAGGTGTAACACGTTAGTGCGGGGTAGGAGCGTTGGAGCGCCAAGAGCGCAGCGCAGGAGCGCAGGCATTCCTTCTCAACACTGCAGTGCATTCGAAGTACCATGCATGAGAGTCATCCGACTTGCTACGAGCTGACGAATGACAGTCCTCCTTCGTCACGACGCCCTTGCAGCGTGGAGGCTGCCTAGCCATGCCCACACCGTGCCACACCGACAGTCGAAAAGCAACCGTCGTCGGTCCGCCCTGGACGGACACATCACTGCGAACGTACACGGTCAAGTGCCAGATCAGATTGATGCCACCCGCCTGAGCACCGTTCAAAAGCTGTCCATGTACTTTCCTTTCTCCTTCAGTAACCCACTCGAGCATTCTTCCACCCTGACCAACCTCCCACCGCCGCAGGCTGTAGGCCACGTCTACGTATCTGTTTTGTGTCATATGAAAAAGGAGGAGAAGGAGAGCATGCCAGCTTTTACTTTCTAGGGAAGCTCTGGTAATATGGAGTGCAGGCCTTCCACGATGCATCTACCCTCCATATCCTAGGATGGAACTTTTCAAGATGACTGGCTGCAGGGGAGTCGCGCAAAAGGCTGCTTCGTCTGCAGAGTTTTGCCCATGCAGGTCGCTTTCAAGTTCTGTCACTTCCACAATTTCAGTGCCTGCCCGAGCTGCAGCTCGATTCTACGGCAGACATGCATTGAATGCCTTTGCTGCTGCTCCGTAACATATTTGTTTTGCTGATACCTGTCCAACGCAGCTGGCGGGAATCTCTCCCGATCGCACACGATGGAATGATACATCTGTTAAGCATGCTTGTTGCCGTGAATTCTCCTATGAGGGAAGCTATTCTCCCAGGTAGCACAGCGCCCTGTTATCCGATCTTACATGCAGCTGGGATGCAGCCAGCCGCTATTTCACCACGCTTGACAGCGGAACGAGGGAAGCGTTGGCCTTGCCTTGCTTGAGCCCAGATCTCGTGCGCTGCGCACATCAAGCCACTCATGAGGATTGCCCTACTTGCAACAACTCTCCCTCCTGCGCTCTGCAGGGAGGAAGCTGCTTGATCTCGCTTCGCCTGGGGCTGCGGCATGGTCAAAGACAAGTCATCTGTTTCAGGAACGGAGTTCAAGTTGTGCAGTGGTGGAACACAAATGGGGGCTGGATCGTTCTTGCCCCGGGCATGCTCGATCGGACCGCTCCTACTTCAAGTTCCGATCTGTTGCTTCCCCACTGTCCAAATTCCAGCCGCTTTCATTCTACACACAAATAACATCTTTGTACCAGTCTCAGAGGTTCAGACTGCCAAACTGTTCCAGTTGATAACAGACTTGCAAACCCGCTGATAGAGCACGTAAAGTTCCTGGCACTGCTCTTCCTGTTATCCCATATTGACAGGGACGGTACTGTCCTCGACCTCTATCTCACAAATATCACTGTCTCTGTTCTCAAGGTCTCTCAAGATGGATCCAGCAGCATCTGCCACAAAGGCACCAGCCAATGCTGTTCTTTGCGGCAAAGTCCCTCATCATGTCGAATACATGGTCAAGAACCTCATGCCCAAGATCGAAAGTAAGATGTTCCATCACTAAGATGCCTGCTCGCCGTCCCATCCAGATGGCTTGCTTCCACACTTTTCGCTTCAAAAAATCCGTTCGTCACTGACTCTCATTGATAGTCGTCCATGTTTGCATGACTGCTGATGCGGCGGTTTCGGAGATTCCAACCCTTCTGCAGGGCAATCCGATCACGCCTTCGTCCGGGTACGGGACCAATGCCGATCACAACGCCATCAAGACGGGCGTGAAGCTTATCATAGTGGGTGGAGGGTGGTCCCCGGAAGAACGTCAAACCATCCTCAAGACAATCGAAGATAACAAACCTGTGCCGGTCTTTGTTGCCGATACTAGCAAGACGCAACCTGGAGCTGGGCCGCCGTCAACAGATGCCATTAAGAAGAGAATACTGGACAGCGTCGAGGCAGCGGAGAAAGGTGACGGAGAGTGGGTGCCGGGCGTATATACTTTCTGAGTGGAAGTGGGCCGACTTCGGAAACTGAAAGCCAGACATAGACATGCTGACAGGAGCAATGGCGCCCGACTGCCAGTGGAAGGTTGATGCTTTTATTTTCTTAGACAGTCTCGGGGTTCGCATCCAATAAGATTGTCATCGTTTCAGCAAGGAATGCTGCTTGCTAGGTAGTTAGATTGGTGGGAGCAAACTGCTCGACGCTTATCAATGGTCCCAAAGGTATAAAGCTCAACGTTAGAAGTTCATTTAAGGAACCGTGCTCATGCTGTTTCCCTTGTCTGGTATCCACGTACTCTTCACATGCCATGTTTAGACCTTGCACTTGAGGCAGGAGAACATTGGGATGTATTTTATGCCGAGATTGCCCGAGCTAGATAAGCCAAAGCACATGGCCGCGGATTGAACATTAGTGGACAAGTATCTTTTACCCAGGCCTGGGTGGTGGACTGGGACGCCAAGTTCCACTGGTGGAAGTTATGCAGAGATGGGCAGACACCGGTGTTGTTGAGGTCGATGCGAGCAAACAAGGCTCCTGCATTGCTTACGGAAACTCAACGGTGTTGAGAATTGAGACAGACGAGCGCCCCAAGAGGGATCCAAAGGAGGGAGCCTCGATTATAGCCACAGGGTCATGATGTGCGAGTTGGATTGAGTCTTGACTACCTCTCTCAGGATTGCACCTCCACCTTGCAGCCGTCGGTAATGGACATGACCAGTGTCATCGTTTGTTTCTCCACTCCAGTCAACTCGACGACTTCGCCCGGCGGCAACTGAATGGTTGGAAATCGTTGGATCAGACGAACAATCGTATAGGCGGCCTCAGTCAGAGCGAAATCCACTAGATGTAGATGTAGATGTTAGCCTGGTCAAGATGTTTCAAATCATGGTTGGTCTAGCAAAATTCGTAAGACGTACTGCCCAGACAGATCCTTGGACCACCATTGAATGGCAAGTATCCCCACTTGGCATTCGTTGGATTGTGGTATAATGGCATATCTGCTTCATCCCATCGTTCTGGACGGAATATCTCGGCGTCCATGCCGTAGAGGTCGGGTCGCCTGTGCATGGAATACACGCTGTACGCGACAGCTGAGCCCTTGGGGATGAGGACGGGAGACTTGCGGTCCGGACCGCCGCCGGTCGGTAGGACTGTCGTGGTCATGGCCGTGCGCGTGTTTACTGGAGCTGAGGGATAAAGGCGAAGCACTGCCGGTGGTCAGTGTCAGTATCGGCCCCGTTATTGTCTATCAAAAACAGCCATTAGGACATTCAGGATACGACACGGCACATACCTTCTTTCATGACGTTTTGGAGGTAAGGCATGTTTCGAAGGTCATCCCGATTCAATTCCCTCTTCTCCTGGCATGTATGGGCAATCTCGGCGCGCAATTTGGATAGGACGCGGGGATATCGAACGAGTGTAAAGCTATAAAATCAATATGTTAGTTTGAGAGAGAAGCCCAAAGCATAGGTTGTTTCCAGTCGGACTCGGACATACAAAGTCCAAGAAAGGAGACCCGCTGTAGTGTCTCTGCCCGCCACCAGGAGGTTTATGATTTGGCTTCGAAGAACACGGCGGTCTGGAATCTCGGCAGAAACTGCATTCAGAAATGTATATTTCCAGGGTGAAACGTCGCCATCACGCTTGTTTCTTTCGATTATTTCGTCCGCGAACTTGTGAAGATTGTTGCATGCATCTCGATACTTCTTGCCATCAATAAGCCAGTAGAGATCCAGAAGTCTGAATCTCTTTGCGACATAATCCTGGGCTATATTGAATGCATCGGCAAAGGTCTGCTCGCCTGCTTTGTCAGGAGCTCGCAAGCTTCGAACAGACTCCCCGAAGAGAAATCCAGTGGTCGTGTCGAGAGTTAGCCGGAAGAATAGTGGTTGTAGGTCGACCACCCCTGACTTCGGTATAGCATCCAGGAGATCAGCCACAGCCTCGCGGAATACGCCCAAATCGGCATATTGCCTGTGCGCAAATTGTGGCCTGAGCAAATCTCGCGACCGCTTCCAGGCGGCACCTTCTTGGTTGAAGATGCATTCCCCAAACATTGGGTATGTGATGTCTCGTCTTGGGCCCATGGTGTAATCTGGAACATAAGATTGTGAGCAAAAGCCTTGCCACTTACTGGAAAAGGGGTGGAAGTTAGGTACCTTTGAAGTTTGTACTCAATATCGCTTCCAGATTTGCTGGCTCGATGGTGCCAAAGGCACTGGTACCTAGGAACACTTGCTGTAAGGTATTGCCTGCCTGTCGAAAATGGAATAGGAAAAGTTCCATAAGTCTCGACTCGGCGTTGGCTCTGAATATCTGTTCAAGCCGGTCGATGCCCCATGGCCGTTGATTTTTCAGCCTTGGTGGTGGGAGACACCCATGGATCCTGGTAAGTGTCTTGAAATCCTGATTGTGGTCAGAACTTGGAGCTTCTTCCTCGTGAACAGTGGATAAGCCTATACCCGATCCTGTCGAGACTGGGCAATCCAATCTCGGACAATGGCTATGGTGATAGCCAACACCACCAACGCCAAAGCATAGTAGTGTACCATTGCGGGCCGAAGAAAGGATCAATGTCCAACGACACGGGGACGGAAGGGAAGGGTAACTGAATGTGGGTGTTGTAGAAGCGTACTACATTCAAAAACCAGGTCGCGTGCTTGGGATTGTGCTATGGCCTCCAAGCTCTAGAAGGAGGTGGCTTCGGTAGTATTGGCAATGCATGTGTTCTCAGTTTCGAAAACCCACAAGAACCAGGCATGAAAGCAAGGGGGTCAACAGCGGATAAATGTTTAAGGAGAGGCGGTGTGGCTCTGCCCATGCCTCCAAACATAATCAAGGCAAATAGATACCTACCTGGTACCAGGCACATCCTGGAGATGAGAAAACTGACCTATTGTTGAGTTGCCTGGATGCAAGGGGTCACCGATTCTCCCTTCTCGAATCACCTCATCAAATAGCACAGGAGCTTCGTCCCGCACCAATCTCCTGCTACTATAATCTTCCCATTTACTCACCGCAGTGCTGGTACATCAAGCTTTATGAGCACACATTCAAGAAGGCTGTACTCCTGTCGGAGGTTCTTTGGATACCCCCACACCGATTGCCGAACTTCAAGTGGAAGGGAAATTGATAGAAGGGGGTTGACGGCTGATGAGTACTAGTACCGGGCGAGTATGTTGTGCTCTGCTCGTATGCGTCACCGTAGTCCAGGTTACTACTCCATCTTGCTGTTCAAGTTGTGCATCCTGATTGATAGGACGGGACCAGACAACCTATTCACTATCAATTCAGTGTTTGGTTCCTGATTGCAGTCACTTGATCACGAGGGTATTTTGCACTGGAACCTCCCAGTCTAGTGCAAACAGGTAGGGCTAACATCCAGGTTGCTGCTGGCGTCGTTGTCACGGAGAATGGGCGCCCTCCGTCGCCAACCTATCCAACAACTCCATTTACTTCTCGTCGCAGTTCAGCCTGCGATATGCGGTGTCCTGACCGACCGTCCCTAGCACTCTGTGTCACAAATAGGCTGTGAACAGGGCCGCTCGCGCACATATGCCAGCCCTTCGCCTGTGAGACCGGAGTATCCGACGGGAAGATCCTACTGAGTTCCGAACGAACATGAACCCCCTGCCCTCTCGTGCCTCCCCGTTGTGTCAGCCCTCATCTCACAATCGGGGAAGAAATGTCTATGTAGCGCCATTGAAGACAAGGATACAGTTCGGCTGAACAGACCGAAAAAAGGGGAGGGAAAAGAAGAACAGAAAGGAAAGAATGAGAGAATGAGACATCATCAGGAAATGAGCTGGGTAGGAATAATCAATCATGAGAGACTGAATCGAAGCACTTTCCAGGTCCGCATCCGTGTCCGTGTCTGGACTGTTTTGCAACCATCGACTACTAGTAGCCTGAACTCGAATATGGCCATCTGTGGGCATGAAATTCTAATACATAGTACTATTACCATTCATACTGCTCCTGGTACATCAGCAGCAGTGTGTGATTGTACGAAGAAACGCGAATTAGGTCTGAGAAAACCAGCCACAGCACAGTTAGAAAATTATCGACGTTGACAAGCATCCATTGTCGTCCGCATCATTTTATCATAAAGCCTCATGGAATTAAGCAGGACTGTCTAGCCCTGAGATCTGCTGATCTTGGATCAAGCGAGTCGTCAGCTGTCAACAGTGGGCCTTGAAAAGGTTGAAGTTCTTTATGGCAAATCACATTTCTCTGCTCTTTGTCCCGGCTAACTGAACGCCCAAAGGTAAAGACAAGACACAGAACAGCACATGGCACCGATTGCCCGCTGTTACGGACGAACGCTCCGCAAACCCAGCCTCCCCGAGCTGATCATTACAGTTCCCTCCCATAGCCCCGCCATGCATTTCCCCGCTAGACTGTCCTTCATTGACCTGCCGCAGACTCCCTCCATGCAAATGAAAACCGACCACGTTCGCCGACTGAAAATGAAATTGCAGAACAAAGCAAGCGCAGTGTTGACATCAAGGACTACCTTCCGTGGCTGGGTTTTCTTCTGGTTTCGTCTCGGCAGGCTTGTGGGCATTGGGCTTTCCTCTGTTCAGGATTGAGTCGATCAGCTCCTGTGAACACTTGTTTGATTGCGGAACAGGTTTTGATGGCGGGGATCTTGCTGCACTATCACTCAATGCCGTATCTCGTTTCTTGAGATGGAACGGCATTGGGGTTGGGTCCGACGGGGTTGGTATGGACACGGACTTCTCGAGCTTGGCCCCATTGGCCTCTGGGGGAGAAATCCGGGGAGACGGCTTCTCGGAATTCTTAGAATATAGCATCAGTGGTGGCGGTAGGAGTGGGTGTGAGGTAGGTCCTGGTGTGCCTGAACGTGATGGCAAACCAGAGTTGAAGGTTTCTGTTGATGCACGGCTTAGTGCTGGCGTCGGCACGTATTCGCGCTCCTTTGTCAGGTACGGGTGCTCGAGTAGCTGCTTCGCCGTCCACCGTTCTTCTGGCACCCATTTGAGCATTTTCTGTGCGAAATCAATAAACAGCTCCTTCTCCTCTCCTCGGAACCGCGCTATAGACGACTCGAAAGTGAGGTCTTTAGCTATATAGTCGGGGTACTTGAAATTGCCTTGTGAGTCGAAGTAGTTCGATGTTTTGGCCCCCCGTTTCAGGAACTCGGGTGGTGGTGGACCTAACAGTGCGATCATAAGACCTAGGTGCTGCTCAGGGCGGTAATGTCCAGGTCGTGTATCGATGCCGTCAAACAAGCCGAAGTTCTCGAACAAATCCCAGAGCATCACAGCCAAGTTCCAGATATCGGCAGGATATGACCAGCCGCACTGTAAGATCACCTCCGGCGCCATAAAGGCATTGGATTGAATGGGCTTGGTGTTTTTGACGTCTCCCCACTGAGCAAGTCCAATATCGGTGATCTTGGCGGATTCGATTACAGCGTCTGACGGAGCCTCGCCGAAATCACTGCAGGATGTATAGATGATCCGGCCATGGTTATCGGGCATCTTGCGCGGAGATGGATGCTCGAGCTCATGTTGTACGAAACGGTCGAGAACTGACGGGTCGCCAAGCCCCATCATGATGTTGTCGGCTTTGAGATCGGTATGCACGACGTGAGCCTCGCTGTGCATGTAATCAAGACCCAGTAGGAGTGCAGGTAGCAGCTTCCGGAGTTTCTCGGAGTTGAAGCGCCGCCCAGGGAACTTCTCCATGCACATATCAATGGGTTCGCGGAGGACGTCGTACACTATGCACAGATGTTCCCCACCCCTCGATTTCACCTTAAACGTGTCGAGCATGAAACGAACATGCTTATAGCCAGGGTGATTGGGGTTAGCCGTTTGGAGTCTCTGCGCAATTTCACGCCGGCCTTTCAGGAACTCTTCGCTTAAATTGTTGACATTGATCTTGATGGTGACATATTTCCGATTTCCAGCGTTCTTGTCTCTATCGAGAATGTGTGAGCGGCGGGGCTTAGCCCATATATGGCCATAGGGACACTTACGCTCGTAAATCTTGTGCTAGCCAGACCGTTGCGGTCATGCCGAAGCCCAACTTCACGAGAAGTTTGTACCGATCATTCAATGTCTCCCCCAGACGTGCAGGGTAGAAACTCTCCGCATTGTACTTTGGAAGAGTTTCCTCCTCGATGGCTTTGAGGCCCGAAACAGTGTCCGGCTGAGGGTGTGGCGAGTTGTTTCTGGAATGCAGTAAATTACTAACTTGGCGAGTGGTGGAGCTCTGTGCCCGCTTAAGCAAGTTAGGACGCATATTGGGCATTTTAATAGATGTGTTGACTTTGGAGGACGATCACAGAGAACAAGAAGGCTCTGCCATTCTTCTTTGATCGCGACAGTCAGGGTCCGGCTGGCCTGACGATGATGTCGTTATTTTCAAGTAAGGCTGGAAAAGCTGCTGACACTGGAGAACACGGATGAATCGGCTGGCCTGCGCGTCAGAGCTTGGGGTCCGGTGGTGGGCTCTGGAGCAGGAATTAGGTAAGCGAGGAAGTTCAGAGATCTTTTGTGAAAGTGTTGACGACCTGATGAAGCTCTCTCGTTGTCTTTAAAATCCCATCCAGAAGAGACACATAAAGGATGTGAGGTTGAGATTATATCTGTCGCTGCTGCGGCAGGGTTCGACCGTCGTCTAGGCCGTGATCGCTTGGTAGGCCGAACTTGAAAGGAACGGCGTAGATCAGGATAGAGGGAAGCGCCTGGAAGTGGCCTAACGCGAAGCAGAACCGCTTGGAGCAGGGTATGGAGGGAAACAAAGCACCAGGGTCCGCGATCACGATAAATGGAGAAATTGACCAAGTGCGCCTCTTACGTGAGAGCCACCCACCGCAGGCACCGCAGGCATGGCATTAGAAGCCGGTTTGGTCGTAGTCTTTGTGCTAGTGGGTGCTAGTAGCGTGTGTTGGGCTACTTTGGCGTGTGAGAACCGGCGCTAGGACGGTTATGATACTTCCGGCTGTGTCTGGGTCGCAGTTTGCAGTCCGCAGGTTGTTTGCACCGTTTGTTCACACTCACATGCAATCGCCTGCCTTATGTTTATCCCTCACAGCAATTATTAATTGAGAGAAGCACTGTGTTGCATAACTCACAGTTGTCCTAACCCTACAATGTTCTATACCACGGCTACCACCTTCACACCGGACCGGGCGGATCGGCTACGACCATCCAATGTGACTGCACCTCTGCCCGCGTTTACTAGGTCAAATAATAATTCCATGCGCCCAGGCTTGTCCAAGAGACACCGGAGCCCTCGGAGCCCAGCATGTGACCAACAGGTGATGCCAGTCGAGTCTTGTCCTTCTAGGCAATCACATAAGGAAAATCAAACTCCTTCAGAAATGTGTCACGGTGAGTTCCTGGGCACGGAGACTGACTCATGGTGTACAACTTGATTCAAGTTGAATGTAAGTTGTACTGACTGGGTCATACTCGCCTGCAGACCTGGACTACTGTACACATGGGGCAGGCCCCATCCCAACCAACGGAGGGGCTATGGAGGCTACCCATATCGTAGCACTACCTCTCTCGGCGCCGCGCCCGAACGTTTGGCACGAGTCTTTCGGCCGCTATGTGATTGACGGAGACGAGACTGTGCCGTTCTTATCTCTGTTGGTGCACTTTCTTCTCCTTTCGAGTCTTTCTCCGCTCTTCTCTCTCCCTCTTTGCTTTGCGCATCTCGATCCCACGTCGCATGAGGACGACCAAGGCTGGTGCAAAAGCCAGGTATATCAGTGCCAGCGTAGTATACGCCCATCCCCTGCCCATTGCTTGGCTCATGGGGTCAATTGCCGCCGATGCTGCAGCCCCAAGCTCGCATCTGACAAAATTGTTTGCGGCCGTTGCGGATGCTGCCTTTCCAGGCCAGATATCCGTCATCAATACATTGAGGGTCTGATATGTGGCTATAGCCGAATAACCAAGCAGGAAGAGCAGAATCACCGGTCCCGCAATGCTGACCTTGTGGTCCATCGTCCAGCCATACCCGATCACAAACACTGAACACAGGATCATCAATGGTAATGCAACTTCAATGCGGGCTTGTTCAATAGGGAAATTCGTCAAGTCCTGCCTCACACCCCTGATGATTTGGACACCCTGTTTGCGTGCATGTCTTCGGTAATTCCAATCGATCAGCTTGCCGGTCGTGATTGCTGACACCATGCCTCCTACACCAATGGGGATAAACATCAGCGCGATTTGGATGTTGTTGAATCCATATATGTCTTTGAACGATGCTGAAGCTCCGGTTGAAATGCCGTAGAAGCAAGCCAGGGCCAGGCCCGTGGCCACCAGAATGATCAGCGATTCGGGATCCAGAAGGATCATAATGGTGGGTATAGGGTTCGGAAAGCGAAAGCGGTAGTTCTTGTAGAGCGCCGCCTTCTCCGCCGGGTCATAACCCTGTCCACGTTTCTGTCTGCGCCTGTGGCGTATATAATCCGTGAGCGACCAGTTAAGTGGAGGCGGAGGGATAGAGCCATCGCCCACGATTTTGCGGCATGTTTCCGGGAGAAACAAGAACAAAGGCACGGTGAAGACCCCTGAGAAAATGAGAAGAAACCAGAAGATCCAATGCCAGTCCAAGGACTGACTGATGGCGCCTCCGATGATTGGCGAGACTGAGGGGCCCAAAAGGCCACCGAGCGATGCGAAGGCAATGTACTGCCCTCTCTCCTCCGACGTCACCGTGTCGCCGACGAGACCATTGGCAAGGGCAACCGTGCCACTACTCCCGGCACTTTGCAAACATCGAAGCACGAGCAGAGCAGCATAGCTGTTTTGCAGAGCGAGGCCGAGGTTGGCGGCCAAGTAAATAATGAAGCAGAGCATATATGCCGGGCGGCGACCCATGTTGTCCGAAAAGCCGGCAATCATCATGGGAGCTGCTCCTTGCAAAATGAGGTAAGTGGTGACTGTCAAGTTGATTTGGGACCCAGACACGTTCAGGGCGTCGGCGATCGTGTTCAGAGCCGGGAAATAGATGGAGCTCGAGAGTGGTGAGAAGAAACCTGCAAGCGACCCCGTGGCGATGATGAGTCTCTTCTCGTTCTTGTTCCATACCGAGTACTGCCGGGTTGGCGTTGAGGGTCCTTTCTCTGGAGGCTCTTTGGTCACGTTTGTCTGCTGCTCGATGCCCGATGGTCTGTTGCTGCCATCTTTACTCTCCTGAACATAGTCTGCCGCATCGTTCGGTGCGGGCGATCCCACGCTAGACATTGGCGGTTCATCCTTGGACTCCCGTTTGGAGTCTTTCACTCCGTCCGCCTCGTTCATGGCGCCGTCGGCTGTCTGTTGGTATGCCCTTCTTTGAGAGAATCTCTCGATGCCTGCTCTACCGAAAACGACCAAGTAACATATATCACAGTGATTACTTCTCAATGGCAGATCGTTGGAGTGCAATCTCCGATGCACAACTGGTCGTGTATGGTATATGTGATCCTATATCTGTTGTATCAACCTTCCATGGACCGATTGCTGCGAGTAGAATTTCGAGGTTTCATTGTCAATCTCGCCCACTGAAATAAGGAATACCCTGAACGCCACCTTGAAGTGCGCTGCTCAGCGCGCCGGTCGATCTACCTTGGCCGGTCGACGACTCAACGGAGATAACAAGGCTTACGAACATCAAAAGCCCATGGAACTCAATAGTAATCTAACAACAGTTACCTCTGACTTCATCTCACGCAGTAGTAAAGGCTGGTTTCATCCCTGTGTACGTGCCGGTCCGGTCTGGCACGAAAACCCTGGGAGGGGTTATGGACCAATCACAGCCAGTACATTGGCCGGTGACCGGCCCGGTCGCGACATCATACAAGACATTTGAAAGTACCACTGCACTAGGTAGTCACCACATAGTACTCACAACCTCAAACCGGGCCGGTTCACAGTCTCTTCCAGTCTCTTCTGCATATCGATACCAGAGCTTTTCGTTTCGTTGAAATTCTCACCGGACTTAGGGCATTATTGCACACTGCAGCGTGCATAACAGACTCAGGCCAAACGCATTCCCCGTTTCCACTTTATGTCCTGTCCCTTGACTAGGTTCATCCTTTTGATCCGGAGTATACTGATTGCATAACCCACCCGCCTCTTCGACGCCGACCAGATAAAGCTAGCAGATAAGTTGATGCAAGACGCATACTCCTAATCAGCCAATCTCCAACACTGCTTACTTCTTGCTTCTTATACACCACCTCCTACTCGTCTCCTTGGTGGAAACAAATGAGGCGGGATCAAAAGTGAATATAACAGCAACCTTGAAACAAACATCGCGTTTCCTTTGTCAGAAAAAGTCTCCATTTTCATAGGCCGGAAGCCCTAACACCTGAAGTACAACTTCACAAGAGGTAACACTAACACGACGAGCGGGACTACTCAAGCCCATTCTTCCCAAAGGTGGCCGCCGAACAAAGCCTACATCCGCGCTCGTTCTCTTTCAATCCTTCAAAATCATCTGAGGTCTAGATATACGTGGTACAGCACCACTTCCACCCGCGAGGCCAAGGCGGGGGGACATCATACCCTTCTAGACCCCCAACAATGAGCGGCGGCGGCATCCTACGCTACATCGAATGGGGCCTCGCCCAACTCTTCTACCGAGCACGAGGCCACGACGGCAAACTATTCACCCGGAGCGAAGCGTTCAAGGACATCCCGCAGAGTATCCAAGTCACTTCTCCGGAATTAGGTCCATCAGGCTCCCATTTGACATGGGACCACTCGAAGCTGGGTTCGAACAGATTTCCCCGATTGACATGGTCGCTGCCCACCATCACCCCTGTCAACAACAACAACAACAACACCACCGACACCAACACCAATACCAACACCACCGACCAAAGCGGCAATGGGATGCATATATCAGAACCAAATGTCCAAGAATACCTCTTAATCTGCGAAGACCCAGACTCACCGCTCCCCACGCCCGGCAACCACGGCATCTACTATTCCATTCCGCCCAACAAGACAGAAATCGGCCCCGAGGACTTGGCACTCGATATTGACCGCAACGAGGCCGCTGCGGACGGGAGCAAATGGCTCAAAGGCGGGTTTCGTTTGGGAGCAAACCACAGAGGGACCGTGTACATTGGACCCAGACCGCCAGTGGGGCATGGCGAGCACCGGTACTTTTATCAGGTCGTAGCACTGAAAGAGAAACTTGACACCAATGAAATGAGTCCTGTTGCGACAAGGGAGGAGCTATTGCAACAAATAAAGGGGAAGTTGATTGGATGGGGAGTCTGGATTGGGATATTCGAGAATAAATGGTAAGTTTAATGGGAGTTTTCGTTTTCCCTTTTGTCGTCTAATATTGAGACAAAGAAACACCTGCAAAAACAGAGGCCGGCTCTGCACGCTTACTAGAAGCTTATATCGATTACCATCCGGAAACCGGTCTCCCCCGCCAAACGCTTTTGAACGAATAACCCTGGTAACCCGCATCAAGCTCAACTCCTGTAGTCGTACATCCTGTAACGATAGTTACTGTAAGTTGCTGTATCAGATTCATACCGTCTCGGCATTGCCATCGTTGTCGGTCCACATTGTCGAAAAGATGTCGTCGCTAATGGCGAGGCCGAATTCGGCAAGCATGGGATCATCGAGGAAACTGGAGTAGTCTAGCTTGCTGGTGGTAGGGGGCACCATATTGTCGTGGAGCGTCTCCGTCGCGCTGGCAGAGGTACCTTCCTGTTCTGTGAGCGGAGGCGGATAGACTCCCATAAACCCACCAAACTCCTCTCTCCACCATACAATGCCGTCAAGAAGGATACTCCCGCACAGCCGGCTGCGAATGCGCAACGCGACAGCTTCCGTGCCGTTGGCATTCCGGAAAGCCCTGTTGCTGTTCCACAACTGGGTCAAGGCCACGCCGTTCCGGGCAGGAAGGTCGTCATTCTGTATAGACATGCGCTTGTGGAGTCCGATGCCGAGAAACAATGCAGACTTGGCCCTCTCCACGTTGATGTATCGTGAGAATGAAGTCTTCAACAACCGAAGAAGGATATGGCAGGGGACCATAATGCTGTAGTAGAAATAGACGGTGGAAGCAGCCAACGAGATTTTGCCGGCTTTGTCGAGACTATCGAATGACTCAATCACTTGACATGATGAGGCACAAAGATCATACAACGATGTAGGATCCTGGGATTTCGGAGACTTGTAGAGATTGAACGATTGGATCGTCAATGTTGCTATTTGGACGTAAAGATGCTCAAGAGCTGAATTGAGCAGAGCAGGTTAGACTGAAACAAACGAAAATCAGGAGGTTAACTCTACCTGTTGCATATTCCAAAACAACACTGGCAGCTTGAGCCTGGAACAGGTTGAGCAATGTGTCCAAGGACCTTTCTTGATCTGGGGTCATGACACGCAGGCCATTCTGTGACAATGCAATGCAGCATCTTGTGATTACGTCCTGCAACTTTAGCTCGAACTTCAGCATTGCAGACATTTGTTGGAACAGGGTACGCCTCTGCTCGAGATCGTGTGGAATGTCTACAATTGGAGTAGCCGGACTACCTTTGCAATGGCAAGAACTTTGTGAGACAACCTTATCAGCAGAAGCGTATGTTTGCACGGATCAGGGTGTGCTTACCGCTGATATACGAGCATACAGTAGCCCCATGTCTCGGCGCGTTTCTTACTCTCATCCTCACTTAGTCGGATGCGCACCTTGCTGAACTCCTGACTTGCAACAGGCAAATGCAGGCCCATCGCCATTGCCATGTGCAGAACGGCGGCGCTGAAGGGAAATGTGAAATCTGGTGAATTAGTCGTCTTCGGAAAAGGCCAACACAGGATTAGCAGATAGGCCTGCAAGTTGGGTAGGGTCACGTTGGAGTCCATCGTGAGTAGCGCCAGGGTCTTGATCTTTGCAGGAAGTACTCCAAGCAGGGTAGGATTCCGGTAGTATGTGCGACAACCCACGCCGATGATGGCCCAGAATAAGAGGCGCGAGAGGCCATAGTATGCATTGGGTGTTATAGAAGGGTCCAGAATGGGCATAAAGCCCGCATAGTCCCGGAAGTAACTGTGAGGTATGCTTAGCATCCCTAGAACATTGGTAGTCAAGCCAAGTCAAACTGACATTTGGAATATGGCATCGATGTCCTTTGAGTCTATCGTGTAGCCTTCCAGGCTTCGGGGGAGCGTAGACGGAGCCAATGGTAGCGGAGCCGGCGCCTGTTGTTCGCGTGGCAAGCTCGCTGGGGTTTGCACCGATTCCAGGGCCTGGGAGAAGGACCGGAATGAGACCGGGGCGATGGTGGCATCTCTGAAGAAAGGTGCTACCGACGCCAGCCTGCTGTCGGATTCGGAAGGTTGATTGTTGTTAACGGCCGTCCAGGAGTGTTCAGGCAGAGGTGGACGCGCAGGCTGGCTTGATGATCGCCGCGATCCGTCTATCGAGAGCTCAGGCTCAGAAGTTCTTCTGGGGTATATATGTCAAGAATCGCTCCAGCCGGGATAGTCATTGATGGGATTGCATTGCGTACTTGCGTTTGGTTTCTCTTCTAAAGGGCTCCGAAACGACGCATCGTTTGTGCAACTTGCGGCATCTTGAGCACACCCCATTTGGATCAAGCCATACGTCGCACCGAGCCTATGGCCTGTCAATGGTTCGTTTCCAAAACATGGCGAACAGTTGTGTTGAGCGGTCGCTCCGACAAACACACCTTTTGTTGTCGACAATTTGTGCACGCCCGCTTGACCGGCTTCCTCCCGCTCCTGCTCTCACATCAGCAACAGGTTTACGCGACCCAAAACAAAACAATTTGACTGACTGAGGAATGTTGACTCCGCTGACTTCGGTGGGTTCGCTGAACTCGCTGACTTCGATTTCGCTGAGTTCACTCATATTGTCCTGCTTCAGTTCGGGGATGCCATAATCTAGAAAGCCATGATTCTGGATACGACACAGATCCAGCAATAATACTTGGGAATGGGCAGGGTTGATGTGGAGGAAAATTGGAATGGAATCGTGGTCAGGCTGTGACTGCCCTGGGGGGTAGGGAGGAAGGCCTCAGGCGTGGACTCCAGGCAACGCGCCTGGCGTTACAATGTTGTACTGTTCAACAACCAGTAGTAGGGCCTAAGGGGGCTAGCGAGGCGTTCCCGCCATGTTCAAGGCCCCGCTGGCAGGTTAGCCGATTGCTCCCCGTCGAAAAAGAAGGGGCTCAGGAATCCCTCCCAACAGACATACAAAGGAAGTTTACATGTTGCTAGGGAACAAATCCTACATGCAGGAGGCGAACGCGGCGATCCATTAGCCCTCCCGTGTCTGCCTCCGTCTACCGTGGACGAGCAGGAACGAGGCATTGCCTGTTGCACGCGGTCCAATTACACCCAGCCGGTCCGGTGCTATTCTGACCTGTTCTCTGACCTGTATGCCAAAGCCTGCGAATCTGGCGCCAGACTTGGAAGGACCTGAAACGCAGCCTGAAATGATGAGTCACTGTAGAGCATGTCGCGAAAGAAATTGGACCGAGCCTCCTGCGGGAGTCCCTTGTCTTTTGGCTGTCCAAGCCATGAAGGGCCATGACAAGGCGGTACAAAGCATGCGGAGGACACTTCAGATCGAAACCGACTACTAGTACTAGTATCTCCGACACATGACGTTTGACTGAGGTTAGGGCTGAACTCAGGCGGCGGATATGCGAATACAACGTTGTAGTAGTACCTGGATTCAGGCTGCAGTGTGGTGCTGCAGGAGTACATGCCAGTGTGTACAACTAGTTTCACTCGGAGTGCGGTGCCAGCGACATATGCTTGGCCCTATTTTCTTATCGATAACAAGGTGGCCCGGAGATCGGTGCATCGGTGGAACTAAGCGCCGGCGCCTGCAACTTTTTTTCCTCCGCATGGAAAACTGCCAGACGCTTGCAAAGTTCCAACAGCATTCAAGTTCGACACATTGATTTTAATTCCTGGGACGGCAACGATGGGTGCGCAGTGTCCTTGATACTGATCAAAGATCTCGTGTACCACCATCTTACAAACATGGACATTCACCGGTGTCGCTTTGTCCCGTACCCGCCGCACTCGATCAACGCGCTCGCTTTCTCTCATTCTTCCGATCCCAAAAGGACAGCACCCTCCGACCTCCGTCTTGCAGTCGGTCGTAACAATGGCGACATCGAGCTATGGAACCCTAGAAACGGCCTATGGGTCCAAGAGACAATCATTAGAGGAAGCAAAGATGCCACAATCGAGCAATTAGCCTGGACTCAGGACATAGTTGTTGACGACAATGTCGATGGAGTCAAACTCTCACAAGGACCACTACGTTTGTTCAGCATTGCGGGGACAAGTTCGGTCACAGAATGGGATTTGAACACCGGATCCGTCAAAAGACGCGCAGAGGGAAATACTGGGGATATTTGGTGCTTTGCAGCGCAACCGCAGATCGAACGTGTGAAAAATGTGGACACACTTCCAGATGGAGCGGCTTCCCAGCTCCTCGCGGCAGGATGCTCCAACGGCACCGTTGTGCTTTTCTCTACCGAGGATGATGAATTGCGCTATCTTCGAACACTTTTAGCGCCGCCTGTGCGAAAACCGAAAGCCCTGAGCATTACGTGGCGGGATCGCCATACAGTGGTTGTCGGCTACGAAGACAGCACAATACGGGTGATTGATGTACCCAGCAGGAAGATTCTTCGCAACATGAGCTTGGGTAAACCTGTTGATGGTAATCACTCCGTCGTCTGGACTGTAAAGTGTCTCCCTGACGGGTCAATCGTGTCTGGAGATTCTTCTGGCGAGTTGAAGATATGGGACCCGAAGAACTATTCTTTGATTCAAAGGGTGAAGAGCCATAAGGCAGATATACTTGATATTGCCGTTAGTCCGTCCGGGGATACGATCTTCTCGCTCGGCGTGGACAGGAGAACCGTCACCTACAAGCCCGTTGCCACTTTACCGGGAACCAAGAAGACGAGATGGGCGGAAGTTGCTCATCGGCGATATCACCAACACGATGTCAAATGCTCGGCGAGCTTCGAAAGCAAAGAATTGAGTGTCCTAGTATCTGGTGGTATGGACGCCAGACCGGTCGTCATCCCAATTCGACGATCACACTCGGAATTGCATCGCACGCTTCCTCATCTACCACAAAAGCCGCCCATGTCCTCTTCTCCGACGGCCAGGCTTTTCATTTCCTGGTGGGATCGCGAGATTATGGTCTACCACGTTCGGAAACAGAAAGGTCCCGGCACCAATTTCGACGTTGACCCTTCCGATGATTCGGCTTACGAGACTCTTGCCCGACTAGTCATGCAAGGTGACGAAAACCTCCACGACGCCAAAGTCTCGGAAGACGGCAAATTCATTGTCGCGGCCACCAGCAGCAGTGTTAAGTTATTCCAGTTGCGAAAGACCCAAGTATCTGGACGGCCGTGTCTTCGCACAAGGCAGATTGACCTACCCCCGGCGATCTCTCGCTTGGGCTCCAGGTGTGCAGGCTTCTCTCCCGATTCGAAATGGTTATACATGGTCAGAAAGGACAATACCGTTGTCCTGGCGAAAATATTGGTTCCTGAGGACCACCAAAAGGAACGCCCTACGATTCATGAAAAAACTGTCAGACTTTATCGCTCGCCACGGAAGACACAGCCGTCCGCTCTGGGTTTGTATCATCAGACTATTACGCAGGTCGCGTTTTCGAACGACAGCCGGGTGCTTGCAGTGGGAGACCTGTCAGGCGCGGTTGACGTGTGGATCCTCGAGGGTCACGAAGACCTAGACTACGTCGAGGCCGCTTCTGAGAGCGATTCGGACGACAAGCCCACAAACGCCTCGGTGGCCTCATCATCGTCCTCGTCGTCTTCGGGAGAGGAAGAAGACGAATCTCCCGTGGTCCACGGTCAGAAATGGGTTCGCAACCCCGCCGGTTCACAATTTCCTCAGCTTGACTCGTCGATTCTGATCCTCACCTTCCGCCCTTCACCTATCAACAAGACGATAAACCCGGCCAACGGCAACTTGGGCCTCCATGCGACAAGACACACTCCACACCCGGTCTCGCCTGAACTTCCGGCCACCGATCACAAACTCATCGCCGTCACCGCCACACATCAGCTGGTCGAGTTCGATGTGCTGACCTCCAAATTAAGCGACTGGTCTAGACGCAATCCTTCAAAGTTTCTCCCTCTCGAATTCACGCGACTCAAAGACCGGGTAGTGGGGTGCTTCTGGGACTCTAACAACCGAGAAAAGAGGGGCGAGAGACTCTGGCTGTACGGTACCACGTGGGTTTTCATGTTCGACGTTTCGCAGGATCTTCCACCCCATGGGTCGACAAGCACCGCCGCTGCCAACGGTACCAGTACATCAGCCACCAGCCATGAAAAGAAAGGCAAGTTAGGCGACTACGATGTCTTGGAACCCGTAGACGGCAACGATGACACCGACGCCCGAAGGAAGCGGTCAGCCCAGCGCCAAGTTTCCGGCAACACTAAGGACAGCCTCAGCAAGAAGCGGAAACGCAACACCGGCGCCGGCGACGTGATCCCCGAACGCGAACGCCAGAGCGGCGTGGGGAGCTCAATGCTCAAGTTCAAAAATGAGGGGGACGATGTGCAGATGATCGATATCGATGCGGGTCCGGCCGACGCCGACGACGGTGATTTCGACGAGACGAACGGCAATGATGATGATGAAGACGATGCTCTTGCACTACTGCGGAGGAACGGGGAAAAGGAAACCGAGAACGGCGCAATGGATTCAGCCAGTATCGACTCACGACCAGCTCATTGGCATACCTTTTCATATCGCTCCATCCTGGGCATCTCGGTGATCGGTGCCGGTGCAGCTGACGGCCCCACGGTTTCCGACGATCACGACCTCTCTGCCACGACCGCCGAGGATAACATTGAAGTCGTCATCGTAGAGCGATCCATGTACGACGTCGAGCAACTTCCTCGATTTGATGGCGGGCAGGATTGGGAGACTTGAGATTTGAGACTTGACTTGACCTCATCTGACTTGAACCCAATGAGCCGTCAGTCCTACGAAGCCGAGCGAAGTAGGTACTATATATTTGTATGAGCAGTGAGGAGTTTCCTGAACACCATTTACTTCGCAAGCGGCATTTAAAAAAAAGTTGGCTGCCGGTATGGCGACGGCACAGACTCGAAAACTGCACCAAGAAGACTATGAACCACACAGAACATCACCTGGAGAGTGAATCAGGAGACAAGGCAATGATCGATGTACAGTAAGCTCGGTTTATAATTGCTTATATTATCTCTTTGCTGGCTGTACCTCTCTGCCTTAACCTACTAGCAGTAACTATGATGGTTACAATGTACTGTGTTCATAAATTTGTTCAACAGATCCTGAACAAGGCACTGACAAGGCCAGGCAAGGCAAACAAGAAAACCAATACAGATATACTTGACACTAAATCGTTTACATTGGATGACGATCAATCATAATACAGTAGATGATTAAAGCTCAGTTCTTAGGTAGGTAGCTACTATGTAGAGCTGTAAGTGTCATTGTTTGCCCCCATCGTCTACTCTTTGTCGAATAGGTGGGTACTCGTCAAACATGGTACAGACAGATCGAACACTGGATCCATATCGTACTTCCATCACCGGCTCGGCGGCAAAAAGCACAGTCACATTAAGAAGTCCGTCGGCCACCCATGCCATGCCATGCATGCCTTGCCTTCCGACTCCGTCATGGCGCAATGCTCGAATTCCGAGGGATCATAACTCTGTGGCTAGGATGAGATGTCATCTCACACTGGTAGCAAACCAGAGGAGCTAGCTAGGTCTGCACCCGGGCCCGCCTTGACGATCAACATGACAGTGGGAACTGAATCCAACCTCCCGGGTATTGCCTTCATCGGGCAGCCTGGTTTCCCTGACCAGAGATTGCGGCAGCTCAGTCTACCGCAACAACTGTATAAGCGTGGTGAAGATAGGTACACAGCAGCAGCACAGAACTCGATGTTTTGACTTGTGACTCGAATTATGCAGAAAGATGGTCCCATTATAGACCCCAGGGCGTTGTCCCGCTCAATTCTGACAAGCAAGCTCATTGAGCTGTTCCAACTCCATAGAAATGCAGATCGGTTCTCGCTTTTGCGCCCTGGAACAATGCATAAAGCGTCAAGATGATGAAAAATGCACTTCGTAAATAGATGGGTTCGTGTCGAAATAACCATGGCAACGTTAAGGTGCGGCGGAGGGGCGGGCCTCAATGTGGAAGCAATTATGCCGGGACTGTATCCCCGTCGTCGGTAGTGGTGGTTGGTTGAATGAGACGCAACACCCGCTCAAGGCCGGGGAGGACGAAGTTGTTGGTGATTGGACCACTGGACAGTGGCCTCTGGTTGTCGTTCGGCAGGAGTCTTGACTTCATCGCCTCGTTGGGCGTTGATGGTGCCCGGGAGAGTGCTGAGCATGTCGCTGGCCAGTGACTGCGCGACGTAGCCTCGAAGCTCCCGCTCCTCCCTTTCGTCTTCCCTCATCAACTTTTGTCTAGCCGACTTGTCCATGTTTTCTCGTCTGATTTTGCGGATCTCATGCATGATCCAGAGGAGCACTTCCTCCGAGCATCGTGTTCGTGGTAGGCTATATCGGTAGTTCCGGACATATCGCCGAGTAACGTCGGTGGCGCCGTCATTTGAGAATGCAATGCAGTAGGCTATTTTTCGATGCCAGCCTGAGAATACACATCAGCATTTGACCTTGGAGCTTGAAATACCAAGAATGTTCTCACCTTCAGTATACACCCTCGGATTATCCCACATTTCTTCACATGGGTCGACGTGGATCCACCTTCGTTGATGCTCACTATAGACTTCGGTCCAAACGTGATCTTCACTGTTCCACACCCATCTCACTCTGGCACCGGCAGCACGGCATAACATGCTGAAGCAATTGGCGAACTCGCCAGCGCGACCACGCCGCGTCTCGAGCAGAGTCCAGACGTCCGAATATCGAGGAAACCGCTCGAAGGTCTGGCAGCCAGGAGCGGTGCATTTATATAGTTCCACTCTAGTGGCCCCTCGAGCAACCTCATCTGGCGTTGGAGGGGTTTGTCCTTGGGCGACAGTGGCGCCGTGACACCGTGAGCAAGGAGGGTTGTTGACAAAGGTGAAGAAGGATCGTTTGAACCATCTAGTAACACATTAGGCGATCATGCAGCAGGGACACATAGGACAGAAATGCCTACCGTAGCAGCGACCGAATGACGCAGTCTTGGTAACCCCATTCCGGCTTTACATTGTCACCCTTTGAGGCTGCCATAGCCTTCATGAGATTGTGTTCTTCCTCCGCTTCAGTATACACCCGATCGATCGGGACATGGGTTAATGCTTCGTCTAGCAAACCTGGATTTTCGTATTTGGTGGGAGTCATGGACAAGGTGATGAGGAGATTTCGAAACTTGAGCGAAGCGGCATCTTGTGGAGGTGAGGGGACTATAGGATGACTCCGAAAGGATGTATATGTAGGCGGTTGGTTTGAGCGTTGCGAAGGCCGCGGCGAGGGCGCGGACTTGGGTGATTGAGGCCGCGGAGAGGTGGGTTGTTGTGAGGATGTTTGAGAGGGTGACCGAGGTGAAGCAGCCCGTGGTGTTCTTGCTTGTTCCTCGAGTTCATTAAGCCGTCTCGTCCGCAGTAATTGTTCGAATTGTTTGGTCAGATCGCCAGCGTCAAAATCAAAGTCGTCGTCGAGAATGCGCGGCCGCGAATGGTCCGCCATTGTCGTCACCGTAGCCCTCGCGGTCACCAAGAGAGTGAACTATGGACACAATGTTCGATAGTCAAGGGAGCAAGACTGCAAAACGCCGAAGCGAGAAGGGGGATTGTGGCCGGTGTTGAGGTCACGTTCGAGTTTGTTAGGTGAATGTGACGATTGGCGCAGTCTGCGGAGCACAGCCCGACTCGAGTGCCTCGCCACAATGCGGCTGCAAATAGGGATTCAAGAGACAGCCCATTCACAGGGCTATCATGAGGGTAGTATATGGAACAATTGGGTGAGAGCGACGAGAGCGGTCGTGTAGTAGGTCGTCAGATTAGTATAGGAAGAGCAATTGCGTTGAGTGCGTGGTGGACGACGAGGCGACAGTGAGGACGAATGCTGAGATGCGGATTGCGGATGCGGTGCGGTGGAAGTGAGTACGTGGACGTGGACGGGGATTGAGTGATTGCGTGGGCCGCCCAAGGCTGCAGTAATAATTATGGCAATCAAGCTATAACTACATACGACTAGTACCAGGGAGCCAGCGTAAGGAGGAACTAGCAGCCTAGGTTGTGCTGTCGGTCGTGGTAGTACTGCGTGAACAGGCTGCAAAGCAGATCGTAGAGGGACGTTCCGCCGAGAATGATTGGAACGCGCGGGAGATTATCACAGTTCGCCGTGGATGACCGTCCACCAGTGGTATATTCCTCCCTTTTGCAATAATGTGATCGCGTAGCCCGGCTTGGAGGGTGATGGTCGAGGGCGAGAGTGCTGCGTGGGCGGAAGAGAGAGCGTTGCAGTCTCTCGCATTGGCAGCCTGCAAGACCACTCAGGATTATTCCGTTGGTCACGTCGCCTGTTGGGGCTGACGACGACGGTTCAGGAGGCCTATGGCAGGCAAAGAGCCCCCATCCGCCTGTCCCCAGTTGACTGCTCTTGCGTGCCCGTGAATTGCTGTCTTCAGTTCGCCCGCCGCGCGTCCTCTCGATCGGACCCCATAATCGGGCTCCACGCCATCCAGATACTGCTAGTACTTGTGCAACATCGCCCTATTTCAGTCCTTCCGCCAGAGCAAGATCCATGGCGATCTATGTGACATCTCGCATTGGGTGTTCCCCTGCTCACACTGCAGCATCAAGCAACAGTAAAGCAAATTTAGTTCGCCTTGTTTAGACGGCTACGAGCGGTACCTTATGCGGGTGCACATGCTGGATCAAGCAAGTAGTAGTAGAAGGAATTATGCGTGGCCAACGGGCATGGCATGATGCTGGTCTAGAATTTCACTTTCATTTTCGTGCGATCCTTCGCCTACTGGCGGTCTGATGTGTTCGGCTACAGGAGACTCCGAGGTCGAAAAGTCCTGCTTCAAGCCATGCCAAGAGGGCCTCGTGTTTCCCGTCGGTTTGGAAATCACTCAGTGGTCCGGGACACCAGTCATTGCGTACGGGGTTGTACCTTTTAGGTTATTGATGGGGGCCGTCAATATGCTAGTGGTGGACTTGAATGCAGGCGACGCGCGTTTTGGCGAGCGGGCGCTCAAGGGTCACATGGCAGATCCGCATGCCATAAATTTTGTCCTCCGCTGCCAGTTACACCTAAAAGAACTGCATTCGATCTCGAAGCATGCAGTGGTCACCGACTGCAAAGCGGACATGGGCGCGCAATCTTGCTGCCTGCATGCACATCATGAAAGCACAAACGGCAATCTATATCATGATCGGCTCGTTACGTTGCTTTTGATCGATCTGCTCGAGGTGAAGCTTCTACAACTCTTGCAAGGCTGGCCACGTAATGATCTGGGCATGTCTGATCCGTGCACCCACGTGATATGGACGGTTGATGACTCAGCAGCCCCTTTCTCTGTGGCGCATTCGGTACAGTTTTCGGATCGGAGGACATAGAGAGGTACCTACCAAAATAGACACAGGGTTTCAACTGCGTTTCAGGGTGCTATGCTGCTTCTTTTCCTGAGCTTCAACTAATAAAATTGTGTCTGTAGATCTGGAATGTCCCCGGAAGTACTTTATTTTATTTCCGAGGCGTGTCTTAGTAAGGCTGGCATGAGAACACTACCTAGGTAGCACAGCTAAAACCTCGCCCGGCAGCCAACTCAATTCTTTGACATTAGCCCTCGAGTCTAGTCGTCCTCAAGTCACGGATCGTTGAAGAACGATGCCGCTCCTTTCGTCCACCCTCCTGATACGTACCTACTCCTTGACAATCTTAACGGCAGCGTACTACCTCGCCACGTCACCTGCGAAACTCCTCTCCTCAGGCCCGATATGGCTACTGGGTGAAAGCATGAGCATCCGCCCCGCGTCTTTCGCATTGGACGACCGGGCTCCTTACAATGCTGCGGGAAGTCGGGCACAGAGTAGCAGCATCAAAGGACAATTGGGCGGGAATGGAGAATCACAAGGCGAGCGCGAACTATTGACCCTGCTGGCACTCCTGCTGGTCGTGTATGCGGTGACGCAGTTCGTTTTCGCCGGTGATTTGAGCTTGATGGGTATCAATGCCGCGCGGCTACCGTCGTCAACTTCTTCTTTGGACAAATCTGACTCGGACCGCAATCCTAACGCTACGTCGTCTACCTCCTCTTCCTCGTCGTCTTCTTCGTCGCGCTTCGCAGAGGACCTGCACACCATCTTCACCGCCCAGTCGCGCTGGCTGACCCTCGCGGGTCTCCATGTCCTGGCCTCGGCAGGCCTGGTATTCTGGATCTACACGTTCCACTCGCAACGGTCAACGCACCGTCCATCACTCTGGGATGCGCTGACGGAGGTAGACTTGAATTCCTCCTCATCGATTTTCGGGAGGCTGGCGAACCGGGTCACGTTCACCTTGACGCTCCTGGATATGCTGTTCTGGGGCTACTTGTGGACGGTGCTCAAGCAAGAAGGGCAGGAACTGGCCAAGACGTTGTCGATGAGACGGGAGGCGCAAGAGCAGCACGAGCACAATAGCTGAGTCTGAGCAATATCCCGGGCGTCGCTAGCCCGATGGATGATACTTCGTGCTTGCTGCGAGCGGCACCGTAACCCGGTACAAAGTCTTGCAATAAAACCACGGAGCACAGTCCCCGGTTTACACACCTAAGGCGATGAAGGAATACCGTACCAGTATAACATGCCTACAAGGATGCTGTGTTCTTGATTTGTCACAGGTATGACTAACGGACCGATTTGGAAATCCCATGTCGTGAGCTCAGACGCGATCTTGACAACCACGATATTGTCAGGCAAAAACTCAGGTTGGCATTATCAAATAAATATTACAGAGCCATCTGGATACAGAGGGTATACAGATTCTCGCGTGCCAGCAAATGCAGTTTGCAGTTCCACTCTTTGGCTGGTGGCTCGGCGTGAGCAAGACCAGTTGGCCGACTCCCCTTACGGCGCGAGGAAGACTCCTACAAAAAGGCAGCCAAACCCAAGAAAGCTGCACCGACAGCACTGAGGCCAGCACCGGAGACACTCAGGCGGTCAGCAGCAAGCCCACTGGACTTTGTGGTGGCAGCAGCCGAGGCGGAGGATGCCGCTTGGGATGCAGAGGAAGATGCCGAGGCCTCTACACTGGAAGCCTTTGCGCTGCCGCTGGATGAAGCTGCACTTGCGGACGAGCTGAGACTGCTGAGCGCGGAAGAGGCGGAGGCGACAGCGGAGGAGGAGGATTCGGAGGAGGAGGATTCGGAGGAGGACGACGCTGCTGCACCTGTGGCGCTGGCAGAACTGCTGCCAGAAGTGGCACTGGCACTGCCGGACGCCGTGCTGGAACAGCCTGCCGATTCCGGCTATTTAAGAGTAAGATAGTCAGCGCGAAATGCTCTCGGGGTGGAAAAACAACGAGTGGGAAAGGAAGAAGACGTACCAGGAGCGACGAAGCACCGACAGGATCGCAGATACCGTGCGCGAATTTGAGGGCGGCCTGTTGATCACTGGTGTCGCAAGCCTTGAAAACACAGCAGGCGATGCCGTTGATGAAAGAGTCCGACTTGCAGATGCCTATTAATGCCATCGCATGTCGTCAGTAGTGTTTGGTAACATTGGAACGTGAATCTCAGCTACTATAGCCGCCGGGCGCATCTTTTTGTAAGCCTGTTTTTTTCTTTCCAAAAGCAACTTTGACTCTTCTTTTTCTTTTGTATTGTACTCGTGCGCAAAGCTTGGAACTGTTGGTAGTAGTTGGAAGGGACTCGGAGAACTAACATGATGGATCAAGGTTGCAAGACGCCGGCAGCGACTCAGTGACACAGGTGGTGGCGCCTGGATTGAAGAGAAAAGAGTAATGTCAGCAAATGTCGAACTTTTAGTCCTTGCTCGATCTGGAATGTAATGTTTTAAGGGCAGGCAGTGGAGGGAGACTTACACGATGGGAGGCCGGCAAGCGATTGCGCAGAGGCAATGCCCGCGACGACGGCGGAAACGGCCAGAGTGCGAAGATGCATGATTGTACTTTTGTGATGGTTCTTTTGTTCTTCTGTTTCCTGCTTGAGTTCCGCGTGGACTCGGTGATATGAGAGATAGGTCGTGTAATACGGTAGTAGAAGAAGCTGCAGTGCTGTCAACGAAACTGAAGCTGAAAAGCCGGGATTAATAAAGCTCCGAGATAGAACTGCAGGCTGTTTATGCTACTACTACTAGTATATTATAATAGCCGAATACTACGACATGGGCAAGGTAGTACAGTGAGCTCGCCAGTGCACTGCATCGGACCGATCTTGGACCTACCTAAGGTAGGCGTGGGCACCCGCCGCATGGAGCTATCGCCGGCACAGGCGCGATCCTAGTGACACCACCACCTGCTTCAGGCTTCAAGCTTCAGTTTGTCCGTACCATGTTAGGTAGGTTCGGCCGACTTCGACGGGACGGGAACAGCTTGAAAAAGTTCGTTTACAAACGTTACATGATGGACGCGTTCTAGAGTACGTTGTAGGGCTGAGGTCAACCACTGGCATCAACGCAAACTGCCCTGGAATTGAAATCGTTCGTTTACACTGCAAGGAACAATCAAGCCGCGCCCACCACCGCCATGAGTCCAGACCTTGTTCGTGTTCCAGCAGTGCAAACAAAAATGGCCCAGCTGAAAATTCCCCGCCCGCTGCAGCCATGGGCAACGGACGTCTCTCGACTCCCGAGGAACCACTTTGATTGGCCGGTCGCCAAAATGAAAACATAAATAATCTGGCGGAGGTCCCTGCCAGTGGGCTCGACTCGGGGCTTTAGAAAGGACGAGGGACTCGGCCTTCACTGCTACAGTCGGTAGGTAGGAGACTCCTTTGGTAGAAACAAGTCCCAAGGATCAAGGATCGGATCCCTTGGTTTCCAGGCCATCTTTGAGGGCATCGGACTGTGACGATGAATGCCAGTTGCCCGTGGTGTGGAATAAAGTGGTCGACTACGGTGGGCACAGGTACAAGTAGCAACAAAAGTACAAGGCTGGCGGGTTTAGAGGAGCAGCAACAATTTTAAATATTGAGCATCTGACAAAAGGACTACCACAGGGACATACAGGGTCTCCGTGGGTCGTGCAAGAATCGGTGATACATAGAAAACGCTCTGCAACGTAGGTATGTATGTATCACCATCATCGCCGTTAATGTTAGGGTCATGTACCTAAATAGATATTTCATCGTTATGCATTATCAACCATCATGTTGCAAAAACCTGTAGTGGGCCGCCTTTCTGTGAGGACGTCCATTCTGTACAGAGACTCCCGAAAAGCCGAATCAACCGAAATAAGGCGATCATCACCGTGCCTTGTCCAACAGACAAGACGCGCATTTTATTTCAAACAATGTTGATGGTATAGGTGTAGTCACTGGCAAACCAGTAGCCATTCGGATGATCCAGTCGGTCTTCGTAATTATGCATATCGGCATCGCCCTTCATCACGCTGCGGAACCGGTCCCAATTGGCCTGGTCGTCTCTTGAAATATAAAAGGCACCGATCCGGCGGAACTCGCCCCTTTTCATAGTCGCGCAGAGAAGCAAGCCTTCGACATGGTCCATGACATCCGTCACCGGCAGCAAATACACCTCCAACATCTCGGTCAACATGCCCGAGGCATCGGAGAGCTTAGACAAACGATCATCGAACGAGACCGAGTCCAACGCGACATGGGCCTTTGTACATTTAATAACGCACGGCGTGTGGCCCCAGTAGTCGTGGGTGCGAGGCAAAAGACCCCGGGCCATGAATCCCTTCACCTTCATTCTGCCGGCCTCGACCATGCCAAAGTTGTCGTTGTCCGGCTTGTACTTCATATCCAGGTCGATGACCTCGATGCACGTTTCGCGCGTACATTGCGAAGGGTCCGGGTATGTGACTTCTCCGTCGATCGAGGTCCACGTCCACGTCGGGGCCCTGTACTTTGTCGGGCGACGGCCCTGTTCGACGCGCCATAACAACGCGTGCGGCAGTTGAGGTTTCCACAACCCGACCATATAGTCCTGGTCTCGTAACCGGTTCCGCGCCATATACTGCTTCACCAGCCCGACCATGGCAAGCAGCTTGTCCGAACTGAAAGTCAGTCGCTTGGTGCTGTACATCTTGACCAGCTGGTGCCAATTGCCGTGCCGTTGGTGGTGGATGCGTTTGCTGAAAAACTCGACCGACTCCCGGTTCGAAGGCGGCCTCATGGTCGCAGGCAGTCCCTTGGGGAACACCTCGGAGCAACACATCTGTTGGCATTCCCAGACGAGCTCGTTGCGCGTGAAATGCAGCGTGCGTTTGGCCAGACAGCGCTCCTGGAAAGCCCAGGCTCGTTTGTCGAGCGGCGAAGAATCGATCAAATCGTGCCACAGCGTGGACCGTAAAATCTTATACATGCCGTCGTCAATCCCTAGCCCATTGGCTTCCACGACACAGGGCTGCAACGCGGCCACGTTCCGAGCATAGATCAGACCGCCAGTATCCTCTTTCGACGACGTGGCCGAGATATTGAGGACTGCTTCAAAGTAGACGCGGTGCATTTGCCCTATCTCCTTGAGCACCGCTTGCTCGTTGTCGTGCATGATGCACAGGGCATCAATCCATAGATATCGGAACCCCAATCGCTCCGCCACCACCGCGGCCTCTGCATACGTCTTTGGTAGACTTGCCACTGCCACTCCCTGCCGTAATGCCGCCAGAGTGCCTTTGTGAAGTTGCACTGTCTTACACCTCCCCCAGCAGTGGCTGAGAGTCACATAGTCGCTCCAGGGGTCGACGAACATGCCATCCACCAGTTTGACTCCAGGCGCCCCCTTGGGACCCCGGACCGTGACGTCCAGTAAATGCGTCGGCTTCCACGACGAACCGGTGTCCGCAACAGAACATTTCATGTGGTTAAACGTACAATCCTGGATCCACTGTTTCGCCAGATCAAAACTTTCCTTCGACGCTGTGCTGACTGATCGAGGATCAATCGTTCTCACCCCGGGCTCAACAGCATCTGATAGGCACAACGGTGTGAGCAGTGGCAATGGACATGCAAGTTTAGTTCCGAAAAGGGGATCAACGCCGCACTCAGGCTTGACTTACACTTGGGATGCATCAAAATCAATTCCACCACGAGATCACTCTCGACATCCAGCCCACCGAGGCTTCCCTTGCTGCTAGTCGTGGTCGGAGTGGCTCTGTCCGGGGTCACAGGTTTCAGATATCGAAACTTCAGCCGCGCCTGATCGCGTGCGATGGGCGAAATCCATGCAAATCCCACCGAATCCAACGTTGATCCTCGGCGGAAAGTCTTGTACGCGTCCGGATCGATAGACATGAAAACTGTAAGGCACAGGTGGCATTTGCCCGCGCGCACAGCCAGGGCTTCGAGACCATGATGAAGAATTTCCCCTGACTCGGTCCTGGGCGTGTTCGGCTGGAAAATCGACTGGCAAGCCACACACAGAGGACTCGCTGTTAATTCAGTCATGGTATCGATGTTCGCCGTGCCGCTACATCCCAGTCATGTCGAGATGAACTGAATGAAATAAACTCATCAATATTCATGTTTGACACAAGAGCACTTGGGCCTTCAAGTTGCGGGTTAAGTTGTTGATGTTTAGGCTCGCCGCGTCCAAACCGACGGCGTCGGCTACTCCTGAGTAGCGCCGCCCGCCTCCCAAGATCGCCAGGCCGCCAAAAATCTCCAGATTTAATTTCCCGTCGCGGGCGAAATGGACGCCTCGCGACCCAAGCGTTTCAAAACCCAAGAAATTGGGGACGCGCCCAGGGATTGCATCACATCATTTGTGGGAGCTTGTGCGAGTCAAGTTTGTCTCTCTGTGGTCGCTTATTATTATCAGCCGCTCGGCGAGATATAACCTCGCTTCGCGGAATGAATGACAGCAAGTGGTAAAATATTATGTGTTCATCACAACATCGATTTCTATCATCTATCATTATCTCTGGTAGTAACTATAAGAGGACTGTCACCTCAACTTCGCCATGGCGAGAAGATCGTGCCGATGGAAGAATTCCCGACTCTTCTTGCCGTAAATATACATCGGAATGCTCAGCAGACAGATGGCGATTTCAATGCTGCCGAAGATAATAAACAGAGGCTTGATCCGAATGGCGAACACCCAATTGTAGGCGTGATAGGCCAAGATGAACGAAAAGAAATTCTTGAACATCATCAGATTCGTAAAGGCTTCCACCGCGATTTCACGGTGTGCATCAAGAAGATACTGGGCCGAAGCGATCGCGCCCATAACCATACTCATGATGATGAAGGCGAGAAAAACCTCGGGAACAATCCAACCGTAGCGTTTGACGTCCTGTGCTGTGATCCCAAAGCCGTAGAGCCCAATTGCCGAGAAGATGAGCGTCGGTATTACCAGCAGAATGCGATACTCAGGTTCGTACTTTCCCTTATTTAGTCGGATCATCAAATTGGTCGTGAACTCGCTGTAGGTGCCAGCCAAGACAAGGCCGAGCATGCTCCCGATGAATGCGCTGGTGTACATCTTACCAGCTTGATCTTCATGGAAGAAAAGAGGCGGCCCCAGAAAGATCAGTGAAAGGATGACCCCGACCATGACTGTCCAACCAATGATCACACCTTGTATCAAACATGCCCACGCAACTGCGGGATGCAAAAACAGCGGAAAAGGTCGTAGTAGCAATTTGATGAATGACTCATCGGTCTTACGCCCGTTGAAGGGAAGCAAGCTCCTGGCCCATGATGTTTTCGGTGGAGGAGTCTCCGAGACACTCATCGAGGGCGAGCATTTGTGCTCCATATCCTCAGTCCCAGAGAGGCGTGTGTGAGCCAGCGACTCGTTCGACGAGTCTTGAGCAAGGAGATCGAGGTCAAGAGAATGCACGCGTCGGTAGGCGGTCTCAGGCACGAAAAAGAACAGCAGCAGAAAGCCCGGCGCCATGAAAATGGCCAGAAAGTAGAACTATTGACTAGTGTTAGTACATGTTTTCAATGACACAACACCTTGGTTCAATCCACGACTAGGCTCCCAGGATGTTTACTGACAACAAAAACGTCCTGGGTAAACAGGAAGCAAGACTTACACTCCACTGCCAACCCATATTCGTAGCGATCATGCCGACGAACACCGGGGTTAGGAATGCGCCTCCGAACAGACAGGTATTGGTGACGGCCATTCTGGGCCCACGCTCATGCACAAAGTACAAGTCGCCCACGCAGGCATTGACCAGCGTCTCAAAAGGTGCCAGCGCCACTCCTTGGAATATTCTGCTCCACAGCATACTGGCATAGTTGCGCTTGTGATGTGTTGAACCGCCCCACGCAGAGGTAGCGACCATCAAGAGGGCTCCGAAGAGGAAAAGATGTCTCTTGCCCCAGACTCTTGCCGATGCCACAAAAAGCCATCCCGCTACACCAACGCCACAGAGATGGTAGGCTGTGAGGAGCGCGGCGTCCTGAAAGGTGCGTCCAAAGTCTATCGCAAGAGTGACTGAATCAGCGGCGAGAAGAGGAGATGCCGTCGTCGCGAGACAGGACACAAAACATAGAATCCCGAGGATGAAGTCCCTCTGCCAGAGCGGCCAATTCTGGACTGGTCAGCCTCCGGCTTAGAAAAGGCCTCTTGGAAACTTACCAAGGGATCGTTCGGATCGTTCGAAGGTTGTGGCACCAGAATCCTACGTCCTTCCTTGTCCCTCTTCAAGTTATGGGCAGCCTCCAGCAGTTCAGCCTGACGCTGGTCCGCCTCATAGACATAGACAGTGCCGGGGACATGTTCCACTGCGGGCTCGAGGATACCGAGGGCCATTGCTGGGCGTTGTGGTTTCTGGGTAGTAGTCGCTAGCACAGTACGGGGAGGAAGGCCGTTACATTCCTAGATGGTCTCCAAGGGTCATCGCGAGGGCAACAAAATCTTACCTCTGCTCGCGCACTTTTGCGCAGCAGACATGATTATAGACCGAGAGATTCGGAGAGACACCTGAAGAAGTGGGCCGACAGCCCACCGACAAGATGCCGTTCGTTGCTAGGACGGTTTCTTCCGTCTTCGGCGGACGGGATCCTACTACCATACCCCAAAGCAACGACTTGCTGCCCTACCAGGTACTACTACGCCCCACCCAGAAGCGACGGGTAGTTTGTAACGGGGCCCTGGCCATGATCTCAAACACCGCATCTACACAAAGTCGAGGTTGATATAGGACACTCACCGCTAGTAACCTGACGGTAACCTGAACTACTGCTTGTAAATCGTCGCCACCTAATGTAGTGTCCGGGAAGCACGCAGGCAAGGACGCGTTTGAGGATCGTAACGAGGAATGGATTAGAATACGTATCGGAAGGGTTTCTGCATGTCCAGGCATTCCTCCATCATGTCGCTTCAGGTTTTGACCATTCAACGCCAGTACTGTGTTCAAGTTATGTACATTAACTCAATGCCACCTTCGTCCACTCCGGCCCACCTTCTGCTTTTAAAACATGCCTCGGATTTGTACAGTGTACCTCTTATGAGGGTTTGTCGAGCGTAGGACGAAGTAGTCTTGCCGCGACTGAAATGATTTCAAAGAATCATTTCCCCTTAGAGGAGCCGTATGTGAACTCATTCCATGCTTCGCCAACCTTGGTAGGCTGCTGAGGACGCTGGTCGTAGCCGATCCCCTCTTGACTGTATCCTTTGGGCTTGTCGGTGCCTACAGTCTCTCTATAGGAGCCCGACTCTTTCTTTCCCTGGACCGTGCCTCCATATGCTTTAGTGTGTGTTGCAGTGGCGCCCGCATTCTCGTATGCGTTCTCGACATTTTGCACCCCCTGTGTCTTGAAAGGATTGCTCGGTGTTCCGCCTGGTTGTGGTGCTCGCTTTGGCCAAACAGCATATATTAATCCCAGCGCTAATCCACCGAGAATAAGGCGGCGACCAAAGGGTCCAGAAGGTCGGGGGCCACCACCGGAGCGTTTTGGTGTGCCTGGGTTGGGAGGAGCATCACCTGGGCCTCCAGCAGACATGTTGATGGGCTGTGAAGGTCAAGAGGGTGCGATGGTTGAGTGTTCAAGTTTGCTTCGGGCGGGTCTCTTCTCCACCCCTTCGTGAGATGAAGAGTGAGAAGGATATAAGACGAGAATCACAACTGTACAGCGGTGATTTCAGCCTGTTTATGGGATAGTAGGTCTCTTCAAGCGAGTCGTGATTGAGAACTTGAAGCCTTTGGGACGAAGTGGTACGTTCGGAGGGCGCAAGAGCTTCATACAAATAGCTTCACAGACGACTCAGACCATGCATGCATCACGAAGTGAAGCACTGTTAATTATGACGCATTGCAAGGAGCATTGAGCCATGGGGTTGTGAACTTGACCAACCATAATCTCTGGCATTCCCCGATGTAAAAATACTACTCCCCTCTGTAGCAATGTACCTGGGGACTAGCACTATAGTACCTACAGTACAGGTAGGTACGTAGACAGCTATCGTAGAAAGTCGCTCTCGCCGTCATAATGCTACGAATTGCAGTGGTCGGATGCCCAGGTACGAATGATGTGGTGACGGTACATCCATTGCAGCCCTCCGTATTGTCATCGGGAAATGATATCATCATCTCCAGCCAGTGACGATGGAGAATCTGAAGGCCAAACACCCGGCAAATGTACCTAATGGATTCGCTTGCTCGTAGTACCCAGTAGAAGCCTAGTAATAATAGTAATAGTGGTGGTCCTGTGACCCGATACAGGGACGGGACATTCTATCCGAGTCACTATCACGTGCCAAAGGCAGTATGGCGATGGCACTGGCATACTAGTAACTTGAGAGTTCTGGAAACCTGCCTGCCTTACGGGCAAGCTTCACAATCTAGAGTAGTGCTGTAGACAAACGGGCTCAAACAAAACTCCAGACTTCAGTTGTGATTGTGGACCTTCCTCACGCTTGCTAACACCACTCATCAGTCCACCAAAGCTAAAGCTATGTGGTATCGTAGGAGACTAAAAAGGGAAACCATTGTGTTGCTCTGAATGGCATTCGACATAGAGGGGGATCTGGGGGAATGAGACCTTGTTGATCTCCGTGGAGGGTTGGACTCTCTTCTGCCTTTACCAGCGCCCTGGAACAAATCACTTCACCCACGCCTACCAAGTGCGGTACCTAGAATCCCTGGTCACAAAACAAGCGGTGCAGTAGGCTCCCATTCGCGCGAAACTCCTCCCAACTGGTCGAAAGCGAAGTCGGGAAAGGGCGCAAAAGTGCACGGCTGCTTATCGGCCATGAATCTCTCTAGGAAGCAGGAGCAGCCTCTGTCTTGTCGGCTGTTTCGGCGGGAGCAGCAGCAGACTCGGCAGGCTTCTCTTCTTTGGAAGCTTCACCAGCCGGACCAGCTTCACCTTCACCACCATCAGACGATGTCCACAGAGTCAAGTTGTCTCGGAGCAACTGCATGATCAAAGTGCTGTCGCGGTACGACTCCTCGGACAGAGAGTCAAGCTCGGCGATCGCGTCGTCGAAGGCTTGCTTGGCAAGGTGGCATGCACGGTCAGGAGAGTTGAGAATCTCGTAGTAGAAGACGCTGAAGTTGAGAGCGAGACCGAGACGAATGGGATGCGTTGGGGTCAATTCAGTCTGAGCAACATCGGTGGCAGTCTGAGAGGGGAGTTAGTCGCCAGTGCCGTTGTTGCACGGATGTCAGCTGTCATACCTTGTAAGCCTCATGGGCAGCAGTGGCGGCGACCTTGCGCTTCTCTCCCGAGGCGAATTCGGCGAGGTAACGGTGGTAGTCTCCCTTCCTATGAAAGCGTTAGACTCACATCACCCGGCCATGCGCAAACATGCACGTACATCTTGTGGTAGAAGACCTTGGACTCTCCAGACTCGGCCTTGGGGATAAGGGCTTGGTCCAGCACGTCGAGGACATCTTGACAGACTTTCTCAAGTTCGGTCTCAATCTTCTGGCGGTATTCGCGGATGATAGCCACGTGTTTCTCCGACCCCTTTGATTCTTCCTTCTGTTCGATCGAGGAAATGATGCGCCAGGAAGCACGGCGGGTACCAACGACGTTCTTGTATGCAACAGAGAGGAGGTTTCTTTCGTCAACAGACAGCTCTCCGCCCATCTAGTATACAGTCAGTTCGGGACCCATGCGACAAGTTCCCACGAAAGTGTTTGACGCACGTTGGCAACATCCTTCATGTAATTGACCATCTCATCGTAGCGTTCGGCCTGCTCGCAGAGCCTCGCAAGGAAGGTTTTGCTGTTTACATGGTCAGGAGAGAAGCCCATCGACTGATCGGGACTCCAGGATTTACCTTTCGCGCTGTGAGCCGCATCCTTGTCAGCAGAGTGTCTTATCAAGAGGAGATCCAGGCCGACGGTAAGGTCAGACAGGGACGAGCTGAGCCCAGACCTCCAGGCGGGGGATAAGGAGACTTACATCGGTAGCGCTAGCCATTGTGTTGATTGTTGAAGAACTTGACAACAAGCGAGGGGATCGAGGATGGACGAGCAATGTTCCAGCAGAGGGAAAGATTGAAGACAATGGATGGAAACTGAGAGAGAAATTGAAAGGCTGATGATGGGAACAGCGCAGCGTTTGAGTGTGCTTGCAGTAGTTGGATGGGATTAGGATGATTAGGATGGGGATCGCGCAGGCTTGGGAGGAGCAGCGCTGAGTGCTTAAAGCTGAGTGCTGCACTGCAGTGCAGTGCAGTGGGCAGGGCAGCGGCCAGCAACAGGCTACAACAAGCTAGGCTCTCTTTGGGTCGCGAGTGATACACAAGCGCCTCACATCACGAATTCACTCGGGTCTGCGTTTAACCTTCCACGGCCCTGCGGGACGTGTCCTTCGACCGCTATCTACCAGGCTCTCACCGTCGCAAGTCAATCCACACCTTTGTCGTGGCAGGCTTTACTCGTCCGCTGGCACTCTACAACTGTATCTGACACCGGCTGGCTCCTGCAATTCATATTGATATTGTTGAGGACGGCACCCTTGGATTTGAAACAGGCACCGGTGGTCGAATTACCAGGATCTCAGGCTGGACGCCGCTTACCTCACCGCTGCTGGCCAACGAGAAACAACCCTACGAGATACGGACGGTACAACTACAACGTTGTATAAAACATCATTTGTACATGTACCTACTATGTATTCACAAGTGCAACTCATGATTTCGGACGTTTTCTGATTTGCATGAAGCCATATGGCATCACGCACACTGTGACATACCGCCATTATTTGTGCTGTATTATTTTGAAAATCATGTACTTGATCGGCAGCCTACCTAAGAACGCGTTAAGCATGGCATCGGCGACCTAATCCCGACAGCTGGAAAGTTTGCTGAGCCTGCACTCTGTAAACAAAAGCAACAATTTGGTCATCCTCCTTTTTGTCAAGGGGTTCTGTGTCCAGCATCGTGGTAGAGTACTACCTAGGTAGTATCATGTGCGCTAGTAGTACCTCGTGCACACCGGTGCCTGGAGTGGCTCGCAACCTGATGGTTCATTTTCTCCTTGGCTGCGCCCGTTCGGCGTCTGGAATTTTCGACAGGCGAGAGATACCACCGTGTTCAATTCTCCACATGGCGCGTTTGGCTGGCAGTCACTCTTTGACGTACATGGTATATCTCTAGATCGCATGCTAGACGGATAGATTTCTCGAGTCTCAAGACGTGCATGGATTCCACAAGGCGCTCCGAAGTACTCCCAGTTCGATCCCCTCGACAGTGAAGCCTTCCCCTGGAAATCGTCTATAGGCCACTCGCCATGGACCAGGCTTATGTTCGCTCAACTTCAGAGGTGTTGAAGTATTTCAACGTGTCTGAAGAAACCGGTCTGTCATCTGCGCAAGTTGCGGAAGCCAGGAGGCAATATGGAAGAAACTGTAAGCGCAATTACCTACAACTTTCTGTTTGGTCTTATATTGACATTGTAATGCAGCGCTTCCTGAAGACCCTCCCACTCCCCTTTGGCAACTTGTCCTGGAGCAGTTTAAAGACCAGTTGGTTCTTATATTGCTTGGATCGGCAGCCATCTCGTTTGTACTTGCCTTGTTCGAAGAGTCAGATGACTGGACGGCATTCGTGGATCCAGTAGTGGTATGTTCGCATATTAACGTCTCCATGTCTACTGGTGTTGAGGCTAATTTCTACCCAGATCTTGACCATTCTTATTCTGAATGCGATCGTTGGTGTTACGCAGGAAAGTAGCGCGGAAAAGGCCATTGCAGCCCTACAAGAATACTCTGCGAACGAAGCAAAGGTTATTCGCGATGGAAAAGTCCAAAAAATCAAGGCGGAAGAGCTGGTGCCGGGAGATATTGTCACAGTCTCTATTGGAGATCGTATCCCAGCCGACTGTCGGTTACTTTCAATACAGAGCAACAGTTTCGCAGTTGACCAAGCCATCTTGACTGGCGAAAGCGAAAGCGTAAGCAAGGACTGCAAAGTCGTGAATGACCCGCAAGCTGTGAAACAAGACCAAGTCAATATGCTTTTCTCTGGCACAACCGTGGTCACCGGACACGCAACCGCAGTTGTTGTGTTGACAGGCAGTTCTACTGCCATTGGCGACATCCATGAAAGCATTACATCTCAGATCTCAGAGCCGACACCGCTGAAGGAAAAACTGAACGATTTCGGTGACAGCCTCGCCAAAGTCATCACTGTCATTTGCATTCTAGTCTGGCTCATCAACATTCGACACTTCAACGATCCATCGCACGGCGGCAGCTGGGCGAAGGGTGCGATATACTACTTGAAGATAGCCGTCTCCCTCGGGGTTGCAGCAATTCCAGAAGGTCTTGCTGTAGTCATCACAACATGTCTAGCTTTAGGAACCAGGCGCATGGCGGCTAAGAACGCCATAGTCAGAAGCCTGCCATCTGTGGAAACCCTGGGAAGCTGTAGCGTCATTTGCTCCGACAAGACCGGTACCTTGACCACCAACCAGATGAGTGTGGAAAAGATTGTTTACCTGGATGAATCTGGCGTTGATCTGGACGAGATTGAGGTGGAAGGCACCACCTTTGCCCCCTACGGAAACCTCCTCTATAAAGGGAAGAAGCTCGAAAACGCCGCCGCTACCTCCAATACCCTGAAGCAGATATCGGAGGTTCTCGCATTATGCAATGATTCCAGCTTGTCGTATGATGCCAAAACCAACACATTCTCAAGCATTGGCGAACCGACCGAAGGGGCCCTCCGAGTTCTCGTGGAGAAGATTGGGACAGACGACATCTCGAAAAATGAGGCCATGAAAAGTCTTACAGGAGCCCAACGAGTGAATTTCGCCAGCCGGTATTATGAGGGAAAATTGCCCGTTCAAGCCATGTACGAGTTTTCAAGAGATCGCAAGAGCATGTCCGTGCTTGCTGGTACTGGCGAAGGACAGAAGCTACTGGTCAAAGGAGCTCCTGAATCAATCCTGGAGAGATGTTCGCACATCGTGGTTGGTCCAAACGGAAAGAAAGTGCCCATCACCAAGAAACACCTCGCGCTCCTCGGAGAAGAAGTCGTTGGCTATGGCCGGAAAGGACTTCGAGTGTTGGCTCTGGCCAGTGTTGAAAACATCCATGGTAACCCCTTATTGGAAACCGCAAAGACCACCAAAGAGTATGCCAAATTAGAACAAGGCATGACCCTGATCGGCCTTGTTGGCATGCTTGACCCGCCTCGTCCTGAAGTTGCAGAATCCATCCGAAAGTGCCGAGATGCTGGAATCAGGGTGATTGTCATCACTGGCGACAACCAAAATACGGCAGAGACGATTTGCAAACAGATTGGGGTTTTCGGACCGGATGAAGATCTCACTGGAAAGAGTTACACAGGACGTCAATTCGATTCACTGAGCGAGAACGAGAAATTGCAGGCCGCCAAGAGAGCGTCTCTGTTTTCCCGCGTCGAGCCATCCCACAAATCCAAGCTGGTTGACTTGTTGCAAGCGGCCGGCGAGGTAGTGGCCATGACTGGTGATGGCGTCAATGATGCTCCTGCGTTGAAGAAGGCCGATATAGGGGTAGCCATGGGGTCGGGAACCGACGTCGCCAAGTTGGCAGCCGACATGGTTCTTGCAGACGACAATTTCGCCACGATTGAGATCGCCATCGAAGAAGGCCGGACGATATACAGCAACACTCAGCAGTTCATCCGCTACCTCATCTCGTCCAACATTGGCGAAGTCGTGTCCATCTTTTTGACCGCTGCCCTCGGGCTTCCGGAGGCCTTGATCCCTGTCCAACTGCTCTGGGTGAACCTCGTTACCGATGGTCTCCCAGCCACGGCACTCTCATTCAACCCGGCTGACCACGATGTTATGCGACGCACGCCCCGGAAACGAGATGAACCGTTGGTCAGTGGCTGGCTCTTCTTCCGATATATGGTGATCGGCACATACGTGGGTGCCGCCACGGTGTTCGGCTACGTTTGGTGGTTCATGTTCTATGAGGCCGGCCCCAAGATCTCGTTCAACCAGCTGCGCAGTTTCCACAAATGCTCGACCTTCAATCCACTCTTCATGGATCTCGATTGCTCGATCTTCTCTCCCAACTCGGTGTACACGCGGACTGCCTCGACCATGTCGCTTTCGATTCTGGTTGTGATTGAAATGTTCAACGCCATGAACGCACTCTCTTCCTCGGAATCTCTCCTCACCATGCCTCTGTGGAAGAATATGAAGCTGATCTACGCCATCTGTCTATCCATGGCACTCCATTTCGCCATTCTCTATACTCCCTTCCTTCAGACATTGTTCTCCATTGAACCCCTGAATTACACCGAGTGGATGGCGGTGCTTTGGATCTCTGCACCAGTCATATTGATCGATGAAGTCCTGAAGTTTGTGGAAAGGTTGGTGTTCTTGACCACCACCGACTCATCGAGGGGTACGTCACTCCAAGGCAAAGAGGAGAGCAATGGACACGTTGCCAACGGGAAAGTCAAGGCAAGCTAGTCAAGGAACTTGATGTCAGTTGGATGAAGATGTATAGATAGTTCTGAACCAGATGCCATAGAAAAAGAGAAAGAAGATATGCATTCGAATACTCCCGTTTTGTTGTCTCACAGGATACTCTCTGCCACTGGACTGAACAATATACAGTACGTGCGGCGTCTCTTGGCTTGCCAGCATACCATAGGTATCAACAAGACATTGCAGATATCTGTCCTGCAATTGTACAGAGGTACCCGACATAGGGGAGGCATGAACCCCACATTGTCGTCAATCGCCCACATTGATAATCAACAAGGCTCTGCCCCACGATTACCGAACTCGGTAGTTGAAAGTCGCTTTGACAGTTTACACAGCGTACACTGCCTCCGTGGAGCACGACATAGCTGGAATATATAACACAATCGCGGAGAAGCGAGAGGAACCACAGCCTCGCTTTACATTTCTCAATTCGAGCTACTACCACGAGTCCACCGGTCCGGACTCCATTCCAGGGCTCCCGGAAACATCGAGACAATCGACTCTTGCATGCAGGTGACGTTGCCTAACAACTTGAACCTGGAACTACAGTACAGCGTGCAATATTGATTTGATCCGCGCCGTCGATCCCTGTGTCACCGTGAAAGTTGTCTAGCGGTGGCTGGCCGGGAAGTCAAGTGAATTGATATACAGTCCGAAAGTACTACACGGTGTCAAGATCTTCCAAACAAACAAACAATGTCTTCTCCCCTCAAACGGATCCTCATAATCGGCGCCTCCGGAAACCTAGGCAGTCTGATCCTGCACCACCTTTCCTCCTCACCCTTTGAGTTTACCATCATCGTCCTCTCAAGAGCATCATCTACCGCCCAATTTCCAGCGGGGATCCAAGTCCGCCGCGTCTCCGACGACTATCCTCTGGCAGAACTAATCGAGGCATTTCGGGACATCGACGCCGTGATATCTTCTATTTCCATGGCCGGAATGCACCACCAATACAAATTCATTGACGCGGCGATCGCGGCCGGAGTACGACGGTATTTTCCCACAGAGTTTGGTCTCGATGATCTGCCGGACTGGTTGATTGAGTTGAGGCCGATGTTTCGGATTAAGCATGATGTGAGGGATTATCTTGTTGCGAAACAGAAGACGGCGGAGTCGACGAAGTCGACGGAGCCGTCAGCGTCTGCGGCTTTAGAATACACCTTGATCGTATGCAACGTCTTCTTCGAAATGGGAGTCCTATCCGGCTTTTTCGGGCTCGACTGGTCCACCAAAACAGCCACGTTGATTGATGGCGGAACAACAAAATGGGTGGCCACGACGCTCGACACGGTCGCGATCGCTGTGGTTCGCGCTCTCGAAAGACCAGAGGCCACAAAAAACAAGTTGTTGCTTGTCCAGGATTTTCGGACGAGTCAGCGCGAGATATTGGATGGTGTGGAGAAACGAACGGGAACGAAATGGAAAGTTAGAAATGTCGAGTATGGGCCGTGGCTGGAGGAGGCAAAGGAGCTGGTTAGAAAAGGTGAGGACTTACAGAGGGCGTTGCCCATGTTGACTTTTGCTACTGTTGTTACGGGGAGTGAGTGGGAGGGGAAAAGACCAGAGTTTGCGAATGGAATTTTGGATTTGAAGCCGAAGTCGTTTGATGAGGCTTTGGATGGTGCGCTCAAGGGGGTTGTTTGATTATTGCTGTCTGATTTGGACTTTTTGATTTGGTTGCCGATTGAAAGAAACACGAAAGAAGTATACAGAGCCCTGCCATCTCTTGTCACCAGATGTTCACCTGTTGGACTACAGTCGGTCCCAAGATCAGTTCAAGCCAGCCAGCCAACGGAATGGAATAAGACGGGCTCGGCGTCTCGTACACTTCTTCCCCGCTGGACAAGGGAAACCAAATCGTGTCAAAAATATGTTTGATTTATGTTCTTCAAATCTGCACATCGGTGCCAGGCAGGCAGTGCCATGAGCTGGCTTCACACAACGACCATAGTCGTACTCGTACCAGCGTCTCGCTAAAAAGGCACATGATAAAAAGAATCGCATCGAGAGCGCCGTCCCTGCTGTATTCCTTCTCCACGACGTGCCACGCTATGCATGCCCTGAAACTGGTTTCGTCTGCTTGTTCTCACTTCTCATTGCAGCAAGAGAAGCAAAGTGCTATAATGACACCGTCCCTCTTGTTTGGTGTGCGCTTTTTGGTCGTCTGGGTTGTCATCATAACTGTACACCCCAGAACCCTTTCCCACCACAAACACCCAATGTGCCCGGAGTCGGCGCCCAGCTCAGGTTGCTAACCTCGTAATCGCACTCCCACACGGCAGAAGGGCCTCTTTCCTGAGCCGAACCACCGGGCCCACTAGGCGTCGAACCGCTTCCTCCAGGGGTGGGCAGATTCCCTGTCGAAGCCATGAGATCCCAGAGCAGAACACAACAATCGTCGGCACCCGACGCCAACACACCGCGCTGGGTATTACTCCAGCCGATGCAGTTGACGGGGGCAGCGTGGCCCTTGAGTTCGAGCAGAGCTTGACCAGGCTGCCGCACGTCGAGGACGCGAATGATGTTGGAGTCCTGAGAAAAGGTGGCGAGGAGGTGTGCATCGTGAGGCGAAGCGGCAATTCGAAGAAGTGGAGGAGGAAACGGTAATGTCTGCACGGCGGAAGAACCCGAGGTACGTGTGGGGGATGTTGAAAGCGCCTCGAGTTGGGCTGGATTTCACCTAGTTAGCCAGAATGAACCCTACCGGAACGGAAAACTTACAGCTCTTGTCCTGTTGCTTTTCCGACGGCTCGTAGATGATGGTACTGTGTTCCAGGCTTCTCAGGTCAAACATCCTCACACTGCCATCGGCTCCACACGAGACAAACACGTCAACACTATTGGCGCAGAATCGAACATCGTAGACCTCTTTGTCATGGGCAATCAGTTGCGTCTTGGCCGTCAACGTGGGGATATCCCAGATCGTACATGTCGTGTCAATCGATGAGGTGATGATGAGCGAAGGCTGCACGACGTTCCAGTCGAGGGACGTTATCGGGGCCGTATGTTCGGGAGATTTGGAATTCGACAACAGAGCCAGCGGGGACAATTTGGCCAACGGCGGAGATTTGTTGTTGGCGGGACGTGTGATGGAATTGGATGAATAGGCATGTTGCTCGTTCGGTAACGACCATAATCGTAGATGGTCGCCAGAGGTCGCTAGTAGATCCGTCGTCTGCTTATTCGAAGAGGGCGGCTCCCACAGGATTCTCGTCACTGGGTATGCGTGCGTGGCTTCTGCTGTCTTGACGAATTCCAGCCCTCGCTCGCCATGAGGGTTGTCCGGGTCGATCTGAGTCCTTTGGGTGTCTAATATTTGAATCTAGGCACACAACTGTCAGTCCACAAGTGGTTCTGTCCCGCCAACATTGTCATCACTCACATGGTTGTGGTTGTCTTCCAAATAACTGCCAATGGCGACTTTCCCCGCGGAGCCGTTGTTGGACCGTGGAGGCCACTTGCACCAATCCACCGCGTATATCGGCCACGGTGCAATATAGTTGCTGTTTCCCGGGTATTGTCCTTCCTCGTTTTCCTGTGCCACGTTCGGACTCATGGGAATCTCGGGGAGACCGGGGTCGGTTCGAGGCCTGATATCTGCCAGGCCGAGGGGGGAATAGGACGACGGTCCTAGAGGAGTGTGTGGCGCATATGCGCTCGCAGCCGAGTGATATTTGCCTTGCTCAGGTGTGTTGGAAAACGGTTTATATTTCGGCTGGTCCATCGTGCCGGGACTCGACCTGGAGTAGCTGTGCGTATGGTTGAGCATTGGTCTGGCGGATAGCGGCGTCTGCTGCATCTGGGTCGAGATCTGAGGGAGGGTAGGGAGTGTCGGCGCCGTGTTGCTGGCCGACAGAGGCGCGGGTCTGTTCGGGTGTCCAGGCTGGAGTGTCCCGGGGACAGGATTGCTCGCGACGCTGTTGGGATGCTGAGGTGTTGAAGGGTCGATTTTGATTGACAGACCTTCACCCCCGCCGTAGGCTGGCGGTGCGCCATAATGGTGAACATCGCTCATGGCGGTTCCCTGCTGGTTTTGCTGGTTCATGTGAGATTCTTCACCTGCACGGCCGACCGTGAGAGACCGCCGCAGGCCAGATTGTTGTTGATACTGGCCAGGGTGCTGTTGTTGCGACTCTGCAGACCCCGCTGACTGACCTCCAGAATACGCACTCGCGTTCAAACTCGACGTCGTACTCGGGCCAGGACGATATGGGATCACCGTGCCATTCCCGTTGGCAATGGCGTCCGCGTGCGTCTGGTAGGGTCTGTTATCGGGGGCCGTGGTGGGCGAGTGGATGTGGTTGTGGTCTTGAATCTGGTTCGGGTTCTGGTTCAGACTTGGATCGTTCCACTGGGTGTTGGGAACGCCAATGGAGCTTAAGGTCTGGCCGGCCGAGTAGATGGCATTAGCGGCGCTGTAGTAGTTGTCGTGTTCGTGGCCGTGGCCGTGGCCGAAGTGGTAGTGAGAGTGGGATTGAGATTGGGATCGAGAGTGAGATTCGGAGTCGGAGAGTTGATGCTGATGCCGCGGAATGTGGAAGGGCATAACTTAATAGTAGCAAGGAAGAACGACACCTCGAGCCCTCCACGAGGGTCTCCTGTCTATATTATGATCCTTGCGGACAGCCAAAGGTTTAGCTGGCCGGCAGTGCCAGTGAGTCAGGGTCGAGGGCGACGTGAATGCAGGGAACGGATTACTATGGAACTAATTGTTGTCAACTGCTGCGCTGGAAATCAGACACGGAACTCAAGTTGCGTGTTGCAGTGTTGCAGCCAACTGCGCCCGCCGAGGACTGAGTTTAGACCCAACAAGCACCAAGAAGCGGCTCCAACCACTGACACTGCTCGCAGTTTCAATCCAGCCCGCAGCAGTTTGTCCGACCGGTCCACGGCTGCTCATCGAAGAACCTCGTCGTCAGCATACAGTATACCTATATAAAATCATATTGCTGTCCAGGACGGCCAAAGACGCTTGCACTGAATACTACCCGACAAGTTGCCCGCCGTTCTGGCAGCCGCTCCACCAACCGAGGATATTGTTCCTCCTTCTGACTATTACTATATACTGTACACCACCAGCTCGACCTTTCAACACATCACCCAGGCCCTACATTTTCTATATTATCAACTTCTCTAAATCATCACTCCACTCTATTCTTTCAATAGCAAGACAACCCATTGCATTATCAAAATGACTTCCCCAGATCAAAACGGACCAGGACCAGTCTCTCTTCTCCTCCTCCCAGCACTTGCGCTGGGCTCCACCACAGCCTCGCAGACATCAGCATACAAACGAACCTTTGAAACACTTTTACCCAGATTAGTACCGAAGGGAGACTCTCAGTCGTCGCAGACGACAACCATCACAACTGCCATTTCCCGACTCGACGTCGCCATCGTCTTATCACCAACATACCCGATCTCACCACTGACCCCACGGGCAGCAGTCTTCCGCCCCTACCAGCAACTCCTAGCCGAGACATACAGCTTGATCTGCGCGGTCGCCGCCGAAACGGAAGTCGAACTCGACTTTCCAGGTGGATTGGACGTGCGTTTGTTTCAACTAGAATCTCGAGTCGACCAACTGCCCCAACAACTCCGGGGCAAGCAATTTCTGTCTGGGCCCATTGTCGATATCCAGACTTTTGGGCTGGCCGCTTCCTCTCGCTCTTACACGACCATCTATTCAATTGAAGGAGAGGTCGGCGAGGGCCACCTTAAAGCCCTAACGACGGCATGGCAAGCAACAGGGAACAAAACTGCTCCGCCTGTTCAGCGGCTTCCTAGCGGTCCTGCAATGACCATTCCCATGACCAACTCCACCACCACAGGACAAACCTCACGCTTCTCCTCCTCTCCGCCGCTCCAAGAGGGCGAGGTCGATGGTCCGGTCTCAACACACAAAGCCGTCGCCGTCGGCGGCACCTTTGACCATCTACACATCGGTCACAAGTTACTGTTGACCGGCACTCTGCTGGCTGCCGAGCCGCCCTCAACCAACGAAACCGGACAAGACAAAACCCGCCGAACCATCACCGTCGGCATCACGGGTGACGCACTACTCGTGAACAAAAAGTACGGCTCTGTCGTGGAACCCTGGTCGCTCCGCCAACAACGCACAGCAGAGTTCGTCGAGTCCATCCTGGTTTTCCATCCCGACGTGGCATCGATCAAAACCACAGAGTATATCGACGAGCCTGGCCCCAATGGAAAGGTGGTACATGTCACTTATGGCGGCGAAATCGCCATCAATTACACCCAGATTTCAGACCCGTATGGCCCCACCATCACAGACGAGAACATCAGTGCTCTAGTGATATCAGGGGAAACCAGGGCAGGCGGCAAGGCTGTCAATGATAAACGAAAAGAAAAGGGGTGGAAGGAACTCGAGATCTTCGAGGTGGACGTTCTGGATGCCAGCCTCGCAATGGATGGCCATGAAGGAGACGGTCAGAAGCAAAAGAAGGAAAGTTTCGAGAGCAAAATAAGTAGCACCAATATCAGAAAGAGACTGCTGGAGATGAGCGCAACGGGCGCTGGACAATAACAGACTGCAAATTTGACAATATCGCGGCCAATTTGGTATTTTAGAGGACTCTTTTCCATGATTGGTGGGCTGCAGATTGATAAAAAAACGGCATGAAACGCTCATAAGCCACTACTATTGATACATTAAGACGAGTCTGTTCCAGTTGTCCGGGTTGCTAGGTATGCGAAACCAAGAACTCCGGACCTGGATCGTCATCTTCGCTCTCAGATCTTTGATCGCCAGCCGTTCGAGACTGGACAACTAGGTCATTATCGTCCGCGGCCTCCGATTTAGGGCATGTTGACTCGACTCCCAGGCCACTGTCGGCTTCGTTCTTCAAGTTTCTGTCCGGACCAGTGGCTCCGCCAAATTCTCGCATTGTATCTTCCAGGCTCTGGTTACTGCTCTCAGCTGGACTGTGGGATACCATCCGATTTGTATCGACCAGACCGTCGCTCAACAGATCTCCTTGTGCACCATCGTCGTGCTGCTCGACTAGGACATCCTTAGTAGCAGATTCCTCGAAGTTACTATCCTCCAACCCCATCGTTTGCAGGAGCGCATCACGCGCTTGCTGAAACGCGGCGAGCTCAGCCCCAATCGAACAAATCAAAAGTTTCCAATCGTGCGTCTCGGCCTCAGCCACAGCCTCTTCAAGAAAAGCGATGAGTGCGGATAGTTCTGAAAGGACGACTTGCAGAGAGGCGTCCTCGGCCGATGTCCCGTTGGACGTGGTCGAATCGTCACCGCCGCCGAAAGATCCAAGCTGAGATTGTGACAAGTCCTTCATTTGCGCTCGAAGGGCCTTCTCGAAAGCCACGACACGATGCACCACTGATTTCCATAGTCTCGAGCCTTCTTCAAGTGCTCGCTTTTCCTTCTCAACACTCGATTTTCGAAGGTTCAACGTTTCAACCTCCGACGTCCACTGATCTTCAGCCATGCGGAGCGTTCTGCGGTCGGGTTTCAAAGCATACATGCCAGGCTCGCGGGCTATGCTCAGACTCCGACCCACCGGTGGCTGTCGAAGGAAAGACCTAACCTTTTCATCGTTCAAGCGTAGTGATTCAGTATAAGAGCTAAGCTCAGAATCCCTGGAGTTTTCAATCTCCTGGGCTCTGTTGACAAGTTGTCTGTGGCGAGCCTTCAGCTCGGCCAGTCGGGCTTCCAACTGATATATTTCCTCCTCGACCTTTTGAGCCTCGGAGCGTAGTCCAGCCGCAGCCGCCCCGTCTGAATTGTTGATCTTCTCTATGCCTTCTTCTAACAGTTTCCTCTGGTTTGAAAGATCTGAAGCTTGCCTCAATGCCACTTGTCGGGCCGCCACTTCTTGGTCAATAAGCGACAACTCCCACTCTTTCAGATGCGCGAACTCGACTATAGATTTGGTCAGACCGCGGCGTGCCCCCTGCAACGAAATCTTGCGGCTCTTGGGCTGTCGTATGGGCAATGTTCTGGTTCTGTCGTGTCTCCGTAGTGATGATGTTGCTATTGAAGGGGTGGGTGTCGGGCTGCCGGCGGACGAGACATCGTTCTTGTCCGTCGGGCCGTCTGAGGAGATATCGTTTGTTTCTGTTGTGCCAACTCCAGCAAGGAGACCGTCCGATTGAGCATCTAACAACGCTTGTAGAGTTTGTTCCAGAGCCCGGGCTGCTCGTTCAACCGGTAGGAAGGGGTCGTCATAGCGTAACAGGGATGAGGTCAATGGTTGCCCACTTCGCCGGGAGGATACGGTGCTGGGAGCCGGTGAAGACGCCGTCGATTCCTGCAACAGTATCCGCGGCGGAGAGGAAGGGGGTTGAGAGGGCGGTGTTGTCTCGTGCTCATACTGTGGGAGCGTGTCTCCGGGAGAATGGGGGAAGATACGCTCGATGAACGACTTCTTCATTGCGACAACGACGACGCAGGCCGGGGGACGCGCGGGCGGTTGCACATTAGCAGTGAGACATGATCAGGAACTTGAAATAAACGTCGCAATGCGAAAACGAAAGGCAATACTCCCTTTCTGTGTCAGTTCGCGGGTCATATGGCCAGAAACAGTCAGCTGCAACCACGCATGTGCTCTCCAAATGTTATACCAGGCACAAGGTGCCAGGCACATCTCCCGAAGTTAAGCCACGACTCCCAAATGCCTGAGCATCTTATTACTGCTCCAGCCCGACCGTACATAAACACGGACAGTCTGAATAGGTACTGCCATCAGAGATCTGGAGGTGTCTTACTGTCAGATATTGATCTGTACATTGGACATGTATACTATCTCCTTTGAAAGAGTGTCCTTGTACCTGACAGCCTTGCGTTTAGACAAGGCTTAACACTGGGTATTGTACGAGACGTCAACTGTCTGGCAACAACGTCGGCGAGCATTCTTCTCATTAAATCATACTTGGTCGTTAACTGGCATATTCAACAGCGAAGCTCTCCCACTTCATGACCGTCGCACCTCGACTACGACTTTTCCTCTCGCGCGGCCAGTATTCAGCCTCTCAAAAGCCTCTTTCGCCTTTTCGAACTCGAAGACACTATCAATGATAACATCCTTCTCCGGATCGAGCTTCGTGGTTTCCTCCAACCACTCTTTTCTGGCATCAAGAAGGATGCATTCGTATGATTTGCCCAACCCGACATATCCCAGCAGCCATCTAGCCACCATGCGAGGATGCGTCAGGTACAATGCACTGCCGCCCATGGATGACCGAGAGGTCTTGTCTCCCACAATAGTCACATATTGAGGGGCGAGCCCAATACAGTCTGTCCCACCGACACAGTCTGCAATGGCATGGGGAGCGAACTTCTTTACGGCGTCAACCACAGCGGTGGGCGACGTGGTGTAGTCGACAACCTCCGAGGCGCCTAGACCTTTAACAAATTCAACATTGCGACCACTGCAGCTGGCTAGTATTGACCATCCTAGCGACTTGGCAATCTGAATGGTGTAGATGCCGGTGGAAGAAGACCCGCCAAGGACAACCAGTTTGTTCTCGGAAGGTACAGGAGATTTCATGAATGGCTTGCATTTTTCAATAATCGTTTGTGCAGTCAGATAAACCAAGGGTAGACTGGCAGCTTGCGTCCAGGAGAGGTGTTTTGGCTTTTTGATGATGCACGCCTTTCTGGTGTCAATGTGAGCAACCTCGGTCAGGAAGCCCGTGCCATCCAGGGCCAACGGCATAATACCGTATATCTCATCGCCCTTTTTGAACTCGGTTCCTTCACCGGCGGCCAGAACAGTCCCAGCAAAATCTCGTCCTGGAACCTTGGGACCATTCAGATATGGTAGTGAGTGCAGCGGCAAATTCATGAGTTGAATGTCCACCGGATTCAAAGAAGCAGCATGGATCTGCACGAGGATATGACCGGGTGACGGCGTGGAGGGGACGTCGGTGGTGGAGAGGTGAAGAGTATCTGGATAAGAGGGTTTGGTGTATACCCATGACTTGACAGACGTTGTCGTTTCGGACATATTGTTGGTTGTACCTTTGAATATGGCTGCGCTGATTATCGAGGTGATGGATTATACAGATACTGTATCCTATCCGTGTTGATCGATGGAGGTGACATATGGTTGTGCTTTGTACATGTAAAGTCAATGCAGCCACGAAAGCAGCATTTGCCTCCCGGAAATGACTACGAATCGCAAGCGAACCATTCAGAGGCAAGGCTGAGTTGTGATTCTGGCGGTTTCTCGCGGATTGTAACATGCGTCACTGAGCCTCGGATGGAGCGGCCGGTTGTGGAGACCCATTAGCCGACCGATCAGTACCCACACCAGAAGAGGCAGACCCTGTGTACCGAGTTCTGTGCGCAGCTCTGATATTTGATCTGCCGAGGGTCATTGCACAAGGGTTTTAGATACCGAAATAGGCCAAAACCAGGTGTAGTCGAGCCTGGCTTGATCTCCCGGTATGCACGCTACTGTAGGCTTTTGACAGACCAGCCCGTAACGAGGAGCGGCGATGTAAAGAAGCGCGGCAAGGGATACCAACTGCGAAGAGTGGATTTTGAGTGCAAGAGCAAGGAGTTCGTTCACATCAACAGACGCCAGGCACCGAGAATCAACGCTGCTGTACCCGTGCAAACGCCCCTAATATAGAAGTTAGCATTCCGTCCCAGCAAGGCAACTTGAGAGCATGCACTTACATCAGCCATTGCAAGGTTGAGAACTTGACCGCCTCTACACGTTCTCTAAGTCCGGCGACTTCTTGTTCGATCCGGGCTTCAGTCTCTTTGATGCGCATTTCTTGACCATTGGCTTCTTCTCGGATCCTGCCCTTTTCAAGGTTGAGGTCTAGCCGCACACTAGCTTGTGTACGGCCAATCTCGTCGCGTAGTCTTGCGCTCAGTTTCGCCAGGTCGCTGGACAATCGCTCATGGCTCGACCGGGTCAGTTGCGCCTCGGTACTGTCGGCGTTGGACAGCTCGCTCCGTAACTTCGCAAAATCCACCTTTTGAGTATAGGTTGTCCTCTCGGCGTCTTCTTTCAGAACCATGGTCCGAGTGAGGTTCTGAATTGACTCTTCTATAACGTCGTTCAAGACGCGCATCATCGCCACAGCTTGTTCTTCACTGAAGCCTTCTCCCTTTAACCTTTGAACGAATTTCAGCGTGTCGAAGTGATGTTCTTTCCTCTGCACCGCGCTCGTGGAGAATGCTTTCCGTGCTGGCTTATATGTGGCGACATAGACACCATTGTGTCGAATTGGAGCCGAGTTGGGGTGGAGTGGCTGGACATATGTGCGAGGTCTTCTCGGAGAGTGTCCGGGGGAGGAGGGCTTGGAAACGGACAAACTCTTGCCGGCGCTGGTGTGTATCGTTCGAGGAGCGGCTGGGGTCTGGAAAGATGGAGCGGTGCGTTTACGTTCAATCGCTGGGCGAATATGCACTGTCTGGGGAGCAGCCTGTACAAGCGATGTTGTAGTCCAGGTCAAACGTGGTAGAATAAATCGTGGCAATTCTGCCATCTGCTTTGAGTTGGCCATGGTGCGCGGGGGATGGCGTTTCCAAACGACGGTACGATGAGATTGCTCCGACGAGATGGCGATATATACTGCGGTAGCTTATGTTCTGAGCCGGAGGTGTTGAGAAAATAACACGGATTCCTGGCACCTATGTACGTTGTAGATGCCTGGGAGCAGGCTAAAACTATGACTTCAACACGTGACAAACAAGTGGACTGTCAATCGGCCATTCCGAATGACCGGCGTTCGATGCCCGGAGAGCTCACTGCTGCCTCTGTAACACGTCTCTCGTCTATAGAGCGCATACACGGGGACTAGACACTACTTCAACAGCAGATTTCCCATATGTTAACAAAACAAACAATATGAATAGTAATAGCGTCTAGCTATTCTCTATGCTCGTACGTGGTAGCAAAGCCACCTCTCCTTGACTACTCGAAATACCTATGCATGCTTGTTGTTGTTGATACCGATGCATGCTTCTTCTTGTTGAACCGGATCCTGGATGCCTTCAGTTGATGAAGCATTCGACTCCCATGCGGTCATGTGCTACCAAGCCATGTGCATTGGATCACCAAACCCCGTCACAGTACATGTGTCACGCAAAGACAATACCAGCAACACATTGACTCTGAAATATGCTGGCCCTTGGGAAAGTCTTCATGCACCAGGTTATGAAGCCAACCGAGATCGGGATCGACTCCGAAGCGGTGCCTCAATCATGAGAAGAAATTCATCCCCATCAAGTAATTCGCCAAGAGGCCAACTATGTCTCTGTCGAACCCACTTCAGTGCCTCAAGCGGTTCAGCATGATCAACGAAAAAGTTTGTGCAGACAGACGAAATCACCCCCCTTGTGTCATCAGGATCGAAGAGGTTGCCACGAAGCTCAGCATTTCTGACATATTCGACGGGCGATTCCTTCATAACGGTGCTCGCATTATCGCGAATAAAGCCGGTGGGTACTGAGTCGATACCACCTAAGAGACAATGAGTTCTAGAGCTATAATGTGAAGAACTCGGAGTCGGGTGGCCTCTCAGCTTACCTCCAAAAGCCTTTGCAGCCGCTAAGCAGGCGGCAGGGTGTGAACTCATGATGCCGTAGATGTTGTCGTCGTCTTGTCGGAGGGAATTTAGCAGGCCCATTGCAAGTCCGCGCTCTCGATAGTCGCTGTGGACAACAAGTTGAGTGATCCAGCATACTGTTCTATTCTCAACTCTCCATCGGCAAGCAAACGCATTCCCTGCTAGGTGATCCTCAACGGTGACTCTTGCGTAGGAGCAGTCGACATTTTTAGGTAGGCATTGGGCTCGTAGACGGTCTTTGCTGAGCTTCACGCGACTTCCTATCCTTTTGATCGAACACATAACCAGAAAGGTCCTTTGCACAACTCACCTTGTTTGGGTACTGATCGAGAATGCGTAGGATCCGTTCCCCATATGCCGTAGTTTTCGTTGAACAGGACGGCCGCTTCCGTTAACATAGCATCCGTGACTTCGCGTCCGTCAAATGTCTCAAAGACTCTTTTTGCCATAGTTGGTCTCTGAGATTCTCAATTCATTCTATCAAAGGCTCACTGCGGAAGTTGACTGTTTTTCGAGAAGGGCGAGAGGACGCCATCGGGGGAGCGAGAACCAGGCGTCATATTAGCGGCAAGGAAAGGGATTGCAAGCATCTCCGTTCTTTGTTTCCAATAATAAATGTAGTTTAAAAATAACATTTTAGACGGAAACAATATTATCATAAACTTTGTAAATAAACAAACAGATCTTGGTTTGTTGATGCTGGGGATTGCCATGCCAGTGTGTTAAGGATGTTGTTGCGCCTTTGCGGCCCAGCGCAGGCAGGACTTCAAGTTCAAGGTGCCTGGCAACCTCTGGGCGGTGACTAAGGTGTCAGTAAAACCCTGTTGTACACAGTCGGCTCCGATACCCCACTGCCAAGGAACACTTACGTTAGCTGCACTTCCTGAACCTCGCTACCAACCCTAAATAACGCTCGACAACGATATCGACGACGAGATTTAATACTCTCTAGAATAATCTATAGACCGTACGAGATATAGTATTCTCTCCGATTTCTATAATATATATAGAAGTACTCTATATACTATAAAGTAGATAGAGCGAGAGTAAATATAATATTTTTAGCGTATCTACTAATAGTTATAAGCTTAGTTTACGATTAACTACTCTATAAATAACTAATAATCGAATATATTTATTTATAATACTTATACTCTAATATAAGAACTAATTAATAGTATTAATAGAATTATTCTCTACCGTAATCGAAATAATAGTAGTATACTATAAGAAGTCGACTCGCTCTTCTACTATCTCTATTAGAACTACTTCTATTCTAAGTACTCTCGATAACTAGAATAACTAGTATAGAGCCTTTAAAAGTAAAGTATAGACTAACGAATTATAATAGTATATTAACCTCTCCTAACTCGAACCGATTCTATTACTAGAGTCGCCTAAACTACCTCCTTATATCGAATCGAATATTCTTATATAGAAGGAGAAATAGACGCTACTAGTAGATAAGAAAGATAGAGACTACTAACGTTAATTAGAGCTATATCGATAATAGACTACTCTAATCTAATGCCTTAATAATCGATTTAATAGAATAATATCTCTATTTAACCGTCTATCTTATAAAGATAAGTCTATACTCTATCGTTAGCTAAAGATACTAAGAGACCGTCTAGAACCCTTAGACGCGATAAAGAGGCAAAGCCTCGCGAGTAGATAGTATACTTTAAAATAAATACTACGAAGTAAAGACTTAGAGATATAGTTCTATTAATAGAAGTTATTATATAAGTAGTATAAGGCTCTATATATAATAGAAGCTATAGAAGATATAGTATAAATTAACTTTCTTACTACTATATAATCTGTCACGAATGCCGAGGCCAACTGCCGTTGCCAACTGCCGACAACTTGTACCCCTCGGCTACTCGGATAGAGCTAAGAGATATAAACGGTACGCGACCCGTATAAGAGAGCTTTCCTTCTCTTATGCTTCGAGTCGTATATAACTATAGGGTTAAGAAGTACTTAATACTAATTAAAGACTATATCGCTATACTCTATCTATTCCTATTAGGCATTCCTAATATTCTCGAAGTATTACCCTAAATCGGTCGGAGTAAGCGATATAGAAGTAAGCTATCTACGTAACGATAGAGCTAAAGAGAGTAGATCTATCTACTAGAGCGACGCCTAATTCCGGCGAGTCGTCGTCGATTCTAGCCTAATATATAGAGGGGTCGATTAAGACTCTAGAGAATAGCTTATCTAACGGAGAAGTCGTAGACGATCTACATACGACTTAGGCCTAAGCGGAACTCTTTAAATCCGCTTCTACCTTATAAGTAGCGGCTCTTCTTAAGAGGCGCGCCTAACTCTAAGAGTAGTTAAAGCGAAAGCGTTTAGAAGAGGAGATCTAGATAATAGAAGAAGAAGCTACGAGATATATCTCGAAGTAATATATAAAGATCGAAGATATAACGCTATCGATACGTAAGCGAGCTCGGAGCGTATCGTCTAGAGACTAAGATTAAAAGAAGTTATACTAGATTCTTAGGATCGCTAAATTAAAAGAATTTAGTAGTAAAAATATCTAAGAATTAAGAGACTTCGATAGTAGCTAGTAAACTATTTTTAAGGCTATCTCGAGTAACGTTACTTTAGACTAGAAGTATCGTATTCGAATCGTAGCTAATTATCTTAGAGGTCGAGCGATAATTAACTAGCGTCGAGATCGTCGCGAGAAAGTACTAATATCTCTATTATAGAACGTATTTCTCGTTTAGTATAAAAATACTATTAAGAATATAGATATTCGTAAGAAAGAAGCGCTAGAAGCGCTTACGACTCTTAAGTAAGAATCTACTTAATTAATACGAGATCTAGTCTATTAGATAGAACTTCTAAAGAAAGATATAGAACTTCTTACTAAGAATAAGCGGAAGAGATAGACTCTTTATTATTCTCTAACGTCTATACTTCGTAAGATTATTAGACGCGATATACGAACGATTACTTCTTAAGCCTAAGTTCTAGTCTTCGTATAGCGACTAAAGAGAATACTTTAAAAGCCTAAGGCCGTAAAGATACTCTAATTAAAACCCGTAAGTAAGGTAGACGCGTCTATATCCGGAAGCTTAAATCTATAGTAGACTAATCGCGGCTCGTATACGCGATAGGACTAACTAGTCGCTAGAGTACTATTCTAAAAAGACTTAAATTCCTAAAAAGACTTAAATTCTAAAAAGTAAAGATCTATAAGTAGAATCTTTACGAAGCTCTTTACGAGAAGATACTTTATTTACGAGACTATAGATTATAGGTAGATCGATTATCTAAAGAAGAATAAGCTCTTCGTAAACAAGTCGTAATTAAAGTAAAAGAACGTTATAAAGAGGAATTTAAAAAACTAGTATCTAGTCTATTAAGTACTATAGTAGCGCTAGAACTAGATAAAAATTAAGTAGTATAATCTAAAGATAAAATATAGCTAGAGAAAAGCTTATTTACTCTAGAGATAAAGATTAATATCTCTAGTAGAAAGTATAAGATAAAGGCTCTACTCGATAGCGGAGCGTAGATAAGTTTCCTTTTATATATACTAGCTAAAGAATATAAGCTTAACCCTACTCTATTAAAGATATATATATATACTATTAAGAGGTAGTTAATTCGAGTATATAGAGAATATCGCCTTAAAACGTCTATAATCGACTCGCGAAAAAGAACTAAGAAGATATATTAACGGTACCTCGCGATAGAGATTATAAATTATAATACGATTCTCGATTATAATTAGCTACTCGAGATAAATCTATAAATTAACTAACGTTTTAGTATCTAATTATATCGACTCGAGAGTAAGTCGCGTATAATTTAGTTATCTCTAAAAGACTTCGAGAAATAGGCGAAAGATCTAGATATAAATATAATTTTTATATAACTAGTCGTTAACGAGACCCTAAAAAGTACTAATATTCTACTTAGGGATATAGAGTAGAAGATTAAGTTAGACTCTCGCTTTAGTAAGTTTATAAAGATATTCGAGAACCTAAGTAAGGATCTCTCTCTAGTAGAAGTACGTACGTAATATTTAATCTCTATTATCGAAGGCGAGAAGATACTCTACGAGTCTATCTATTCTCTAAATATATACGAGCTATTTATTCTTTAAGAGTACTTAGATATAGTAATAGCTAAGGGCTAGATTTAATATAGCGAGTCGCCGACGGGTATATCTATTCTCTTTATTCTAAAGTCGAATAGTAGCCTATAACTCTATATCGACTATCGTAAGTTAAATTAGATTACTAAGAAGAATCAATATTCTCTTTCTTTAATTCCTAAGATATTAGATCGCGTAAGTAGCGTATATATCTTTACTAAGTTAGACTTATAAGACGCGTACTATCGGATTCTAATTAAGAAAGAAGATCGCTAGAAAATCGCGTTTCGTACGCGATATAGATATTTCGAATATCTAGTAATACTCTTTAGCTTAATAAATATATCTATCTTATTCTAAGTATATATTAACGAAGCGCTAAAGAGCTTACTCGATAATATTTACGTAGTATATATAGACGATATACTTATCTATAGCTATAATACTAAGGAGTATAAGAGATACGTAAGTCTCGTACTTAAGAGACTTTAGTAATATAGTCTCTATATAAAGCTATCGAAGTATAAATTCTTTACCGAGAAGATTAACTTCCTAGAATATCGCGTAGAAGTTAATAGAGTCTTAATAGAGTCTAGTTAAGTCGACGCTATCTAGAAATAGTTTATATCTAAGTTCTATCGAGATATTTAAGTATTCTTAGAGTTTACGAATTTCTATCGAGAGTTTATCTACTAGTACTCTACGGTCGTTATCTCTATTACTAATCTTCTTACGGGAATAGTCGTAGATAAGAAGATAAGATCCTTCTAGTAGACTATAGAGATAGACTAAGTATTCTATAAAATTAAGAAATACTTTATAAAAGCGCTAATATTAGTATACTTTAATCTCGAGCGATAATATCGTATTAAAGTTAATATATTAGAAGATATAATTAGCGAGATACTATCGTAAGCGTATAAGACGTAAGTAGAGTATATACTATAGAAATCTATAGTATTCTTCTTAAGGAAGATAACTTCTATAGAAAAGAATTATATTACTAGCGACGGTAAGATATTTATAATTATATACGTCTTTAAGGTATAGAGATACTACCTCGAGACGCCTATAAGGAGTATAATTATTCTTACCGATTATACGACGCTATAGAGCTTTATAACGATAAAGGTTCTAAATCGGCGTTAGATACGCTAAATAGAGATACTAGCTATATATAACTTTAAGATTTAGTAGCGACGAGATAAGAATAACCTAGCGGATAGACTCTCTCGTCGACTAAACTATATAGATAAGGAGAATCTATTAAAAGAGAACGCTATAAAAGCGTTACTCGAAATACGAATATTTATTACTAACGACGAGTCGCGAGAACGTCTATAAATTAATAACGAGATTATTATAGAAGTACTAACTCGAGTAATAGTTCGGAGTAGTAGAGATTCTACTAAAAGTAGTTATAATATTATAACTTTATTAACGTTCGAAGCTAAGTTAATAGCTATCTCTAGCCTAAGTTCGAAAGAAACTACTAAGCTACGTAAGCGTAGAGACTTATTAGCGACTAGACTACGAGAGCTCTAAGTACGAGATATCTAGTATAAGA